TTTATGTTTACAAATTATTTAATTAATTATGAGAACAAATGATGGACTGCGGCCAACAAGAATGTGAATTTTTGAAAAGGTGTATATCTTCTAGTCTTCTTGCTTTCTGATACTTCATTATAAAGCAATGAAGAGTCGTATTTATTGGTATGGTTTGAATATATTGTATTATGGAATCTCACTTGCTATATATAAGCTTTTGAATAAACTACAGTATACAAACAAAATCTTTATGCTGGCTATAGGTCAATTTGGAGTGACCATTTTATGAGATTTTTAAAGAAACCTTATCAGTGAGTGACTGTTATTGCATAGTTGAATTCAATTTAGCTCCATTGCGAGTTTTTCTAAATTTATGTTTACAAATTATTTAATTATGAGAACAAATGATGGACTGCGGCCAACAAGAATGTGAATTTTTGAAAAGGTGTATATCTTCTAGTCTTCTTGCTTTCTGATACTTCATGATAAAGCAATGAAGAGTCAATATTGGTATGGTTTGAATATATTGTATTATGGAATCTCACTTGCTATATATATAAGCTTTTGAATGAACTATACAAACAAGATCTTTATGCTGGCTAGGTCAATTTGGAGTGACCATTTTATGAGATTTTTAAAGAAACCTTATCAGTGAGTGACTGTTATTGCATAGTTGAATTCAATTTAGCTCCATTGCGAGTTTTTCTAAATTTATGTTTACAAATTATTTAATTATGAGAACAAATGATGGCTGCGGCCAACAATTAAGAATGTGAATTTTTGAAAAGGTGTATATCTTCTGGTCTTCTTGCTTTCTGATACTTCATGATAAAGCAATGAACAGTCAATATTGGTATGGTTTGAATATATTGTATTATCGAATCTCACTTGCTATATATAAGCTTTTGAATGAACTATACAAACAAGATCTTTATGCTGGCTAGGTCAATTTGGAGTGACCATTTGATGAGATTTTTAAAGAAACCTTATCAGTGAGTGACTGTTATTGCATAGTTGAATTCAATTTAGCTCCATTGCAAGTTTTTCTAAATTTATGTTTACAAATTATTTAATTACGAGAACAAATGATGGACTGCGGCCAACAAGAATGTGAATTTTTGAAAAGGTGTATATCTTCTAGTCTTCTTGCTTTCTGATACTTCATCATGATAAAGCAATGAAGAGTCAATATTGGTATGGTTTGAATATATTGTATTATGGAATCTCACTTGCTATATATAAGCTTTTGAATGAACTATACAAACAAGATCTTTATGCTGGCTATATGTACAGTAGGTCAATTTGGAGCGACCATTTTATCAGGTCTTTAAAGAAAACTTGTCTGTGAGTGACTGTTAAAGTTGAATTCAATTTAGCTGCGTGAGGTTTGCTAAATTTATGTTGAAACGGAGAATTTTTTTAATTATGAGAACAAATGGACTGCAGCCAACAGGAATATAAATTTTTGTAAAGGTTTATATCTTCAAGTCTTCTTGCTTTCTGATACTTCATGATAAAACAATGAAGAGTCTATATCGCTATGGTTCGAATCAATTTTCTAAGCCTGACGAGAACAACCTGCAACCTACAGGATGCAAAATTTATGCACATGCATGTTTTCATACAGTCTTCCTATAAGCAAATTTAATTGAGATGAGGAGTTTATATATTGATTTGGTATGAGTATGTTGTATTAAATGTTAGGTACTTTATATTAGGTCTAGTATGCATGACCGTCAATCTTACACCTATATATCTTCATATTTTATGATTGCATGTGATCCTCATGGCTGTATTATATATTTGCTATACTGTATGTTTGCATTTTTGCAATGTTTCGCTTAGATTTTGGTAACCTAAAGTTATAAAACTTGCAACTGACCGATTACAATTGTAACAATGACAATGTCAATGGTATTGACAATCTCATGTTAAAGCATGCTATCACTTGTTATTTTCTGACAATGCGCGCTACATATCAAGTAATACATATATTTATGACCTCCATTTTTAATAAAATTGTACAAAATTTCCCTGCAAGCAAGTTGTTCATTCTGCAGTGTGTCCCAGTGGTTTCCACTTCGACCTCTGCTAAGATCTTCTATTCAAATTGACCAGAATAAATAATCCTCATCAAAAGTCCAAGTACAGTAGTGTACATGTACTTCATCGTACGAAATGAAGCATAGCTAACTGTGCAAGTTTGCAACAAATGAATTCAGGTGTAGTTTGTGAACAGTGTGGTTCCATATTCATCTGGTATGGTGTAAACGTAGTCTGAGTTTAACATTTTGGTTCAATTCCGTTCTCTGAAACATTGTCAAAATAAGCAATGAAACAAAACACCGCGTCACAGGTTTACAATCCTGATCAAGGTGGCTCCCTACAATTTTTGAAATATGACAAAATCGTGATTTAGATTTAATTTTTAATTTTTTGAAGAGATGTTTCTTTTCAGAAGACAAAAATTGTACCACATATATTGAGCAATCGTCCAAAAGTTGAAAATTGTTTACAAAAATGATGTCGTTACCGTTGTTATACAGTATATGGTAACAATGACGTTTATGGCCGACATTTTACCTTTTAACACATTTTACTCGAAAAAAAGTAAACTTGAGTAAAGTACATTATAATGTGGTTTTATCAAGATTTAATTGTTTTTGTAAAGGCAACTAAAGGCATATCATGATTAAAGATGTATTTAAACAAGTATTAAATGTCGATAAAGTGCGAACATACCTTTAATGCCTTTAAACACAATTTCATAAATTTAAACATACCTTTAATAGATTTAACCTAATGTGTAAAGGTCAAAAAAGGTATGGATTTCTTTAATCAACTTTAAAGATCACATATAAACTTGAGTAAAGTATGATGTGGCTTTGTCAAGCTTTAATTGTTTTTGTAAAGGTAACTAAAGGCATATCATGATTAAAGATGTATTTAAACAAGTATTAAATGTCGATAAAGATCGAACACACCTTTAATGCCTTTAAACACAGTTTTATACGTTTAAAGATACCTTTAGCAGATTTACCCAATCTGTAAAGGTCAAAAAAGGTATGGATTTCGTCCTGTGAAAGGTAGGGTACATGCCAATCATACAAGCACCCTTGCACGAAATGGGTACCTTGAACACGGTCGTTAAGAAATGCATGCATGTGGCCACCGTGCTTGGACAACAGTACCAAAGAAATACCTAATGGTTTTCCGTGCAGGATTGCGTGATCCATGCACGCGGGGATGTTGCGAGACTTTCGGAAATCGTAAAAATACACGAGCCGTAGGCGAGTGTATTTTTACGCTTTTCGAAAGTCGAGCAACATCCCAAGTGCATGGATCATGCTATCCTGGACGGGAAAACCATTTGGTAATTGTGTTTTATAAAATTACTACAGTGAAACGACGCTTAACTTGATTAAAATTACTGATGAAATGTGCAGTTCTCACAACATTCGTGAATTAACCAATCAGAGAATCGCTAATCCACGCTATTGAAAACAACAACATATGTGAACAGAATTTGATCGCAAATTCGCGAAAGTATACAGCGAAAATACAGGGACTTTTTCGATAAAATATACGAAATTTGAAATGGAAAACCCGCTAAACAGACAGTCAAAGTAGTAGTGAAGATTCTCTAGCTGAATATGTGAAGATTGCGAAGCGTTTGATCAACTTTGAAGCGAGAGATGTTGTACTTGCATGCCATGGTCTGATGAATTTCAACGCTTACGCGTTGCTACTTGCTGAATAGCAATGTATCGATCAGAAATTTATTCATACAACTAAACCAACGTCTCAATAATTGGAAACTTACTTCAAAGTCGAAAGGTAACGTACAATGAAACCTTACAATGCGAGAATATTTGTAAAATTATATGCAATAATTTCTGTTCAGAATTTCCCGTGCAAGATTGTCTGATCCTGCACGGCTGTTGACCAATCAAATTGCGTGTTTCACTGTAGTTAATATATAAACTATTATCACCGTAGATCAAGCACTGTACTGCAAATTAGTCGAGTTGAAATGGGCAATTCCAGAATATCGAGAGAAACTTGTCGCGCAACTCGACGGTCACCATATATCTATGTGTTTTCTTAAGACCAGTGGAGATCATATGAAGGGATCAGGCCTTGTTGACTCATAGATAGAGAGTGGTCTCCTAGGACCAAATGCGGCCGAGACTATGATGAACGGCAAGGCGTATAAGAGAGCAATGCGTGCGCGGAAAATAACACTGCAAGCCCTATGGCCCCTGTTGGTCCCGCTGTTACTCAAGTTTTGCAAAACGATCAACGTTGATCTTGTACAGCAGATTTCGCGTCCTTTGTCGTCAGAGCAGAATGTTAATGATTTGATTACATGTTTGAAGTCACCACAATTTTAAACGGTGTACGACGAGTTCTTAGCGAAGAAGTGTCAGGAAAATGTCAATTTTCAGTTCTGTTGGAACTGTATGGAGATGGTATTGATCCTACTCGATTTTACCCGTTCGCAGCGGGAGGGAGATTGGGAATTGTATTAAGACAGCTTCCGTGCCATGCTTCCATACTTTTTCAGGTAGGACCACCTGAATTATGCCAAGTGGGGATCGGTATTTATCGCCGAAATGGAACAACTGCGGTATGAAGTGTTACAGGAGTTTAAGAAGGGTAATTTCGTTGTAAAGTGGAAAGAGAGCGCTTTCAATGAAGTAAGCGCTGACCACAGCCTCGAGTGGTTGAACGGCATATTGGTAAACGAGGAGGTGGAATTGTTGGTATAACTAAGACATCTTCAGCCTTGAGCTAGTGCGTTAACTGTTTTAACTAATACATTTTATATCCAGTTCCTTATTTCAAGTGTCCAAATAATGCTAAATCGGGCGCAAACATGCAGCCTTCATCGGCCAGTGACTTATTTGGATAACTGGTTATTTGCTTGGTAGAAAACCGGTTTTAGATCGATACTCGCGTGTGCATTATTTAATAAAGTGTCAAAATACGGAACAATCAACTTGTAGAATATAAACAATGCTACATACAATTATATATTTACCAAATGGTGTAAAATTTATTATTTTCTACTTCCAAGGTGGGCTCTGCCTTATAATTTGCGGTGGGAGATTGCTGAGAGAACTCATGAGATGTTTGGCCTAGTTCAAGAGGATACGTATTCTCACAACGAATCTGCGCCTGCAAGAATTGTTCGCGACAATAAGGATGAAGAGTCACTCATTTCCGTCCTCGAGCAGCATCATGTGTTTTCACCAACATCCCATCCAGAATGTCTTTTTAGCATCGCTACGAAAGGTTTGGCCACCGTCGAGATTCAGGAATCACTGTTAGGCGCGAAAGATATGGGACAGAAACAAGTTAAAGACTTCGTACAGCAATGGCTGACTGAACCACTTCAACAGCAACCTAATAACGAGCAAGGGGATACCAAGGTTCAATTTACGGATACAATGCACGAGAACAATGCTTTACTTTCGATTCGTTGTATCAAGTCGCCAAAGGGGGCAAAGAGAAAGAAAAGAACACGATTTTACGCGCTGACAGGAGTGTTTTACAGCGTCTTATCGTTGCTTACGGAGCTGGTCGAGAAGTAGATTCACATAATGTTTTGTCGCATGAGCTAATGTCCGTTCCCATATCATTAGCAGATACGAATGGTAAACTTAGAACTGGCCAGAAAGCACCGCTGGCTGATGTTCTCACCAGGGGAATAAAATGTCCGAGTGCTTTGATTTGCAGAGAAGTGCATGTTTACTGATTGACGGCATGGCATTAGTAGCGGCAGAGGGAAAACCTGCCGACGCTCAAACCTTCGGAGCCTACGCAGATAGATTCCAAAATGCCGTATTGAGAGCAGATTCGCGGTATCAGCAAATTCACGTACTATTCGACAGATAAGAGAAGAGTTCAATCAAAGCAGGCACGAGAGGACGCCGTACCAGGACTATTCGTTCCGTTCGTCGTGTAATTGAGAACAAGAATGATCCACTTCTGAATAGCTGGTCAAATTTTTTAGCTTTACCGGAAAACAAGGCAAACTTGGCCAAATTTCTGTCCGAACATTTAATTGCAAATGGACCTCCAGAGAAAGTCATTGTTGTCGCAGGTGGATTTTACAACGGGAAAGAAGCGCAATCGTCAAACCAATTCGTTGATTCTTCTCTTCTGTACGCAGATCACGAAGAAGCTGATACAAGACTGGTTCTACATGCTATCATCAACAGTTTCTGACACGGTTGTTGTGTCTGCCAGAGATACTGACTTACTCTTACTTCTTGTGGCGCATTTGCCAAGTATGCCTTCTGCAAACGTGCGGATGATGGCAGGAACAGCGGCCAGGCGCCAGTTCTTTAACATCAGGGCGATAAGCGAGAATCTTCCCGCAGGATCACTATCAGCGCTCCTCCCTTTCCATGCGCTGACTGGAAGTGACACAACATCACATATCCAAAACCACTCCAAATTGTCAGCGTGGAAGACATTTCAAGACAAACATCACCTTCTAGCATCGCTAGGAGAAGGAGAACTATCGGCCAACAAGGTCAAGGACGCCGAAAAGTTCATCTGTGCGATTTACAACTGCGGGCACATGGAATCACTGAATGATGCGCGATTTCTTCTCTTTTCGAAGACAAAGAAACCTGAAGCGTTGCCTCCGACCAAGGACGCACTGGAATTGCATATCAAGCGCGTGCACTATCAATCACTCGTGTGGAAACAAGCTTCATGCCAGTAACCTATCCTGCCAAACCCGGACTGAATGGGATGGAAGAGAGAAAGCGAAGGCGGCAGTAAACTCGTCCCTCTCCTGATGACAAAGGAACCCATTGCGAACGGCAATGAAATTATATCCTGCTCTTGTAAAACTGGCTGCACGACATTACGCTGTGGCTGCAAGAAAGCAAAGTTGTTCTGTACTGGCGTCTGCGGCAGCTCTTTGGACGAAAAATTTCGTGAAAAAACAAATGCGATAAGTGAATAGAACAGGGAGGAATGATCAGAATATATGATACGCGTTAAGTATATTAGGGAGCTTTCCATGCACTGTGTCATATTGGTCCCAATGGCTCTCCCCTATTTGATTAAAATTTTCCGATCAGAACAGTGATATACTTCAAGTGGAATTGTTTGACCATGTAAAAGGGAAGGTTTTATGGAGGACGCACAATTAACTACTTTGATATTTAACCGCAATACATTTTGCAACGTTATAATTATAGACTTTTAATGGTAATGAGCATTTATTGAATTTTCTTGAACATTTTTTGCCAACATAAAGGTGAAAGATATTTGAGATTAAAAATGGCTTAAAAATGCTGTAATTGGATGAGTAACAAATCTAAAATATTAATTTTTCTTCAATCCATATGTACTGTGACGTCATATGTAGATGAAAGATTTGACGTCATTTTCGACTACTCAACTGCAGATTGAGATCTAGCGACCATCATTTTCGAATTCAGCGTGTTAAATAACATTAGAAAACTGCGATCGCCAACCTTTACTAAGAAATGCCTCTTGGTCTACAATTTTCCGAAATTTCGTCTAGTCTAATAGGCATGCTTCACTTTGACATACTTTGTCAAGAAAATAAACCCAGTTTGCAAGCAACTTCCTTGTTATTTCCTAATAATATCGACTCTAAAGTTCATTTCCTTGGTTGTTGACTTTTTCTCGGCTTTATTTTTCACCCTGCTCGGTTTCCTTTGTTCTTATCGGGGAATATATTCAATATTCCCGTCTAATCAATTTCCGTTTAACAATCCCCTCTAATATTCACCTGCAATGTCTTTGCAGCACGAAAAATGAGAAAAAAAAACAACATAACGAAGACAATATTGGATTAAGAGTTATATATATATTCTGAATCATTGACTCGACCTGGCGCAATGTAAAAAATAAGTACGTTATTTTGAGGAACCTCGAGGATATGTGTGTATGAGTCACAAATTGTGCATTTTGTTGAAACTCTAGCACTTTTTGTTGGCATAACTTCTTCAGTATAAACATAAAACATTACACTGAAGTCGACCAACAAACGTTTGTAGAAAAGATACGAAATGGCAACCATGTTTTATACCAATATACTATGTGTTACATGAAGTGTAAGGCAGGTGAGCTACGAGCCTGCAGTATAGTTTTGAAAACACAATGTTCACTTTCAAAATCATGGCAATCAGTCTGAGTTTCATGCAAAATATTTTACTCTAAAATGGCAAATTTCTTGGATGAAAGTGTTCAATATATATATAATGCATCCTACACGTTTGGTGCTTGTTCAAAGACAGGGAGATGTTATGCCTTGAAGGTACAAAGAAATATGTGTATTTGAATATAAAAATATTATAAATAAGTATTTTATATTATAAAGTATTGTGTAGTATGCTATATTATATGTTATACTATATTTTTATTACTATTTTATATAATATATTATGGATAGTTTACTTTGCAAATCATGTGTAATAATCCATCTTTATACGTTCTCTGATTATATTATGTTATATTATGTCCTGGGAGTGATTTATCCGAACAATACTGTCCAACCCACATTTCCCCTTTTTGCCCCGACACTTTGTTTGAGAAATGTCAGCAAACGTCTGAATAACTTTGAATTTTCAGAAAAAAAATTTCGCAGTCATGACGGCAGAGGAAAAATATTAAAAGTCATGAAAGCACATGAGGCAAATGAGATCATTTGTTCAGGAATGACGGATGAATATTTATAGGGGTTCGCTAATTGTGCGCACCCCCGGTACAAATAGGGCTAAATTCTAAGCTAGCCAGGTGTCATGGGTAATTTCTTACTTAAGGCCTAAATGTTTGAATTTTGCATTGTAAATACGGCAAGAATGACAAAGAGCACTCAAGACGTACAACTAGCAGTGCTCCAGTATTATTTGCCAAATCAAGAGCACTATAAATAGATTACCCATAACTCTCTGTGGGATTAGAGTTCAAGGATTGATATTTATATGTAGGAAATGCCGTGACTACGTTTATAAGTTTAAGCTCGTTTTCCAATAGCGAAATTTATTGCGCGAGACTTTTGTTTAAAATTTCTCTGTTGGAACTATCTAGATTTTTAATAAATTGTTTTCTATTTTATCAATAAAAAATTGAAAAAAAAGAAATCTAGCATTTCCACTCCCACTCTTCCATTAAATATTTGCTGCAAATGTTTTAACAAATGTCTTACAAATGTATTAGATTTTACCAATTCAAGATCCGGTACTGTGAAAACAAAAACTCTGGTAGTTTACACAAATTTTAAACCTTACCCTCTTTGCCACTACCAAAGTTGCTGCCCTCCTCTGGCTTATTACCCTCTGGCTGCTGTTCAATATCACGTCGTTTTCGAGGTGCCACTACTGAGACAAGGACTTGATCAGGATCGGACAGATCATCAACTAGTTCTGTGTAAAAATGAGAATTAAGTGGTATAGTATTGTCCGCAATTAAAAAGTAAGGATCTATCTCATAATTATATCAAGTACGCCATTATATGTTTCACAACAAATTAAATATTATGTTTCAAAAAATAATACAAACGTACTTAGTAAATGTTGAGCTTGCCATGAATGATGTGATGGCAAAGGAACTTTATGTTCAATGATGTTTCTTTTAACCTTTACAGCAAGTCCTGTGTATAAAAGTTTAATAGAACAAACTTACACGCGGTTTCACGGTGGGGATTTTTCCCGGCGAAAGCGCTCTTACACCAAAACGAGACTGCCAATCTGCCAATCTTGTCAATACATATATATATATATAGAGAGAGATCAGTGTGAAGGAAAACATGGCGTCTTCAAGGAGTCGAAATATGCGCGATAGCAATTTAAGAGAATTTTTACACGTAAACCTTGATAAAACAAAAGGAGAATACCTTAGGAGCTTAGGAATTGGAAATCCAAAGTATGTAGAAACACTAAAGATGTTTGAGAACCTCGCAAAAATCGCGGACAGCCTGTGCCAAGGGGTAGATTCGGACGATGACTTCGAAAAGTTGAAACATCGTGTTGTGCCTGTTCATCCATTTGCTGTACGAGAGATATCAGTGTGGAATGCACAAATACGTAAAAGGCTTAGAAGAAAAGCATATGTTAAGACAGGTTGGAAAATTGTTTTGGTAAGAGATTTGCCAATGAAAATCTACGAGCACATTGAGTGTCTATGTACTGCAAATACACGTTATGCAACAAATGTCAGTCGAACAAGCAAGGAAGATATTGTACAGTTTACTGACATACGAAAAGTTAATTACATCTTCAAACAAGTTGGTGTTGATGACAGTTTAAAAAAAGCCATTTCTAATGTTGGAACAGCAAAGGTCATAGTATCTGCTGAAAAACCATTTAAACTAGTGTACTTAAAGAGCAAGGAACAGCTGAAAGTTATAGCACACTTTGGATTTTGGAATGTACATGGAGTTGCACAGTTCTAGTCTTCTAGATAAACAAGTGAGACATTAAACAGTTTTAGTTTTGTTCAAACACTGGAGCATCCATAGCAAAATAAGAATGTGCTTATACTGACTGAAATGGATATCCTAATAACACAATCTACAGTAAATTATATCATTTATTAATTAATAGCCTTTATACTTTTAAATATGAACTAACTTATTGTATTTTACTTTCGACTACCCTACCATAGTATGCAAGGTAATGCTGCATTTAATTTTGTTCTCAAAAGTTGCCATAATGGCATTTTAACAAATTCAGGCAAAGTGTGGCCTCCTTTGATTAGTAAAATATTCAGGTGTTAGGCTGTTAGGCGCCAGTATGGAATGAAGGCCATGTGCACGGCAGGCCATGGGCACGGCACATTTGCCATGCACAAGGGCTGCTATCGGTTTACAAATTGGTGCACAACTTGCCCAATAATCCCTCAATTTCTATCTGTTATTGGTGCACAAAAAATTTGGATTTTCACAACTTACCCAATAATTCCTCAATTTCCTTCTGTTATTGGTGCACAAAAAATTTGGATTTTCACGTATGTTAGCTACAGTATGAGCCCGCTGGCGATGTGCACAACGTTTGGTTCATAACCAAAGTTGCGTTTAAATTGTGCGGTGCACAGAAATGTTACATTCCATAGTGGTGTTAGCCTGGAGGATAACATAACATCATGCCTCTAAGCCAAGGTTTGTGGTTTAGCCCAAGACAATTTGCCGATAGCCAGGCTACTGCAGCTTTCAAAGCTTGGCAGTCATATTATTCTTTTTCGATTGAGTGTTTTAGGCCTGTTTTAGGGTTTTAACATTGACGGATTTTCTGGGAGGGGGGTGGGGGCACCCCCAGAAATATTTTGCACCCCCAGATATTCAAATGCCCATTGGATTAAAATGACTGCTGTGTGACTGATATAAGGATTTTGAACTAAATGAGACTAAAAACAAGGATTTTGAACCAAATATAAAATGAAAAATTTCAAAATTTCCTATAGCTTTCCCCCCAACCTTGCCCCCACAAGTGACTGTGCCCCCAGACCCCTGTTACAAGCTTGCTTGGAGGCGCTTCGAGCCTCTTCGCTCACCTCCCCAACTGAATGTTCGGCATTCCCCAAAAAGAAGGAAAGGAAAGAAGCTCGTGTATAATTATCAAATAATCCTAAAATTGCCCTTGAATGCTCCACTTTAATTCTTCTTAATTGTTGAACAATTGTAGAGTCATTTGATAATTTTACTATTTGCTAATCAAAATAAACATAAATTCATCAGGCAAAAGTTCAAATATGATAAAACATTTAATAACAAATGATGAATATAGCATATGTAACATACATATTTTTCAATAAATAAGCAATTCAAAAGTTAAAAACATTTTTCCCAGACATACAAGGCACAATAAATTAAATTTATAAAAATAAATTTTTGCAACATTTTATATCCCTTATTATGCATAGTTCAACATATCAGAGCTGTGCAGTTGACTGAAATGTTTGGTCACTACGGAGTGGTTGTTCAAAACTAGCTTAGCGATAATGCTGAGTTAAAATTTAACCCACTGTTTTGGTATGTATGATTCCGTACTGACTGTTTATTTTAAAACATTAAAAATCAATTTAGGACTTTATAATTTTAGAACTCTCTTGCAGAACTTTAGTAATGGTCCAGGGAAGATATGTATTAATAACGTTTTCCAACCCTGGAAACTTACATGCAAGGTATTAATATAAAGATAACTGCTTTAGATTTTGTACAACTGTATCTCAGTCTTTAAGCTTATCAGGTTTTGAACAACCGGCTTCAGAATTCATCCCACAGCACTTAAAGTACTTAAAAATACTGAACTAATGCTAAAAATGCAGCAAAATGATAGAGCAAATGCTCCAAAAGACCGAAACCCTAGCCGAGATGAAATATCTGTAACCGCACAGCTCTATAACATATAATACCTAATTAATAGGTAAAAACTCTGCGATTGTATTATGCAGATTTAAGGAATTACTTTTCCTTTTTCAACACTTTTTATAATCTTCTTGTAAATACTAAAAGAGCATATATTACACTTCTGTTCCAGACATTCTTTTGGAAGACCGCAGTAGCAAAAGTTGTCTTCACTACATCGAACAGGTACATACTTATAGCTAGATTTACTATAATCATCTCTAAAGGGATTCTGTTCCCTCAGCCAGATAAGTGTCATGTATTCATGCCTAAACACTTGTTGCCACCTGTTCTTAACCGTTGTATTTTTACTGTAAGCCCCCAGCCGCTGGTGCTTGGCCTCCCGCCCTTGCATTGTGTTTAGACCTAGCCCTGTATTATACTTGTCAAACAATTTGTTTGTATGAACTGGAACAACATGCCCCAGTGTCCACACACTTACGGTGACCCTTACAAACAAGGCTGAAGCATTAAAATAGTTTTTGCAGTTTATTTCTAATTTAGAAAGCAGTTCTCTATCTATGTCTGATATGCGTGTGAATACTGATACAGCATCCCTTAGATTTACAGCCATAAATGCCAGAACATATGCTTTCAAATTATTAGGGTTTTCCGGCCCATCTTCAAGCACAACTTTAATTAGTTTGCAAAACCCATTGCACATGCGTTTTGTTTGTTCTCCTGTAAACCGAAATGTAAAGGTGGAACCACCCTTTCTACCCTCTCGAAACCAACGAAGGATAGCATTGTGAAGCCTATTTGCCTTAACCTCGTTCTTCAAACATAATAAAAATTTCCTTAAGCAGCAACCCACTGGTAAATCAGAAATTTCTTTGCAAGAGCTTGGAACAGCTGTTTTGGAATGTAAAACATACTCAAAAAGTTCTAAAAATAGAAATTGCCAATTATTGTTAGCTAAGTGCAATGGTTCAGCAAAACCTTTGTCAATGACTGGCCCTAGTATTGGCTCAAGCTCCTGTCGTGACTTTTGTTTAGCAATAAATTCAGTGACCTTTGTTCTAGCAACTAGTTGTTTTTGGGTTAACTTGGTTTTAAATTTTGCAACAGCATTAGCAATTTTGACCCGGTTTTTGTAATCCCAAGGCTGAAAGTCATCCGAAGGACCTCCATAGGTACAACCAACTTTTGCAATGTCATCTTTTGATACATTTGCAAAGGACAGAAAATACCTTGCAGAATTTGGCAATTCTCCCGAAATAAAGGCTAGCCAATTCATGTCCGATGGTACTAATGCAAAAGAAAACGTTACACTTATCCCGTCAATAACATAAACTTTTTTTCAATTCTTTCAATATCTTTCCTTATTAGTTTGCCATACTCTACCATTGAAGGATGCTCTTCTGAGCAGTTTGCCCCACAAATCAAATGGTTTTCATTGCAACTGGCAATTCTATCTACGACATTCAAAAAGGACACAAGCCATGCTGTTGCTTGGTTATACTTCCCAAAAGGGGCACCGTCGGCACCTATTGCAACCTGAAAAGAACCGACTGGGAGCCCAAACCAATTTAAATAGCCCGGGCGTTTCTGGTTAATAACTAGGTACAATTTAGCTAATTTAATAAGAAAGCACTTTAAGTCCCTGAAACATCCAGAAACAGGGGGATGTAAATCACCCTCATTATCTTCATCGTCCATTTGATACACCGCTTTGTCAAACTTGGTCTTCTTTGCCCTGGGAATATCACGTAACTCACCAATATCAACACTATTTACAAACCTCATAACAGTTTTGTAGTCAGCAAGCTTAGGAATTTTGCATTTATCCATATATGTGACCTGGTGTTTCTTTCCACTTTCATCAATTTCAAAGATCTCTTTGCTTCGTTTTCTATTGTATTGGCTTTTGCTTGATATCCCACCTTCATAGAGTACTGCTACAGATCGAACAAGGTTGCTTTGGCCAAGTTCGTACCTCTTCACAGCAGTATTGACAATGGTTGGTAGGACCTTTTTCATAACTTTAGAAGAATTTAATAGGTATTGCTTCACTTCATATTCACTGGCAGTATTTACGAAAGTATTCCACAAACCATTTAATGCGTATTTTCTTTTGGATTCGGCGTTGTCAGATGATGGGGCATTTACCGCCACAGCATTGGTAAACATTAACTTTCTCCTCTTTCTGGCAACACTTTGAGGTAGGTCTAGCTTCTCACTGTTTGACGGGGTGCACAATGATGGATTTTTTATAGAAGACGTGCGGGGAAGTTTCACTTGTTCATTCAGTAACGAACCCCTCTATAAGAAAGGCAAAAGATTTTTACATACATACATATTTAATATTTTCTATGAGACAAATCAGGCACAATGTGCCTTGGCCGGTTTGCCCTACTATATTTGCTACTTCACTTTATCCACTTTTCCTTGTTTAGCAAAGACTGTTGAACCTTAACCCATTGGGTTGCATTGCGACCCGATCCGCCCTACTTTACTGTTTTACGGTGTCCAACGGCAGACGATTTTACTTGTCAAGGGGAGAGCGCTGGCAATTAATGGGTTAATGGTTAACAAAAATATCTGCCAATGTCTGGTTTTCTCAGTAAACCCATTAGGCCCAATGCCTCATGTTTAGCCTTATTTGTTATTTACTGTTGCTAACACTAAAGAATTTCCATTGCCAATACAAGGGGAGATAAAATTATTTGCAATATACTCATCTGGGGAAGACCCTTGCAGCTTGACCTTGTATCAGCTTTTGAACAAGCTACCATGGTCAAACATTGACATAATTTTATATTTTTGTCACACTGGAGCAAATAAAATCTATAGGAGAAGTGTTGTTAACTTTGCATGACACACATAGCAGCACAATAAAACCTTCTTATACAGGGTTTAATACCTAGAATAGAGTAATGGATAGACATTCAAGTCAAGATTAATCATTCGGACGAACGCCAGCTCACCTTTCGTTTTAGGTCTTTGATGGCCTGTTCCTTCGATGCGATATCTTCATTTAATCCAGCTATGGTATTTTTTAGTTCGAACGACTTTTGCTTTAGTCGTTTCTGCTCTTTAGACCACGCGCCAATATCGAAGTGCTTGGCCATAAGTTTAAAATTCTCGAGAAAGTCCCTCGTGTAAATTCCTGCAAATAAGACCAAATCTTATGAATTTGGAATGAATATGATCTTGAAATACTGGCAAACAAAGCCCTCGTTTTAAATTTTCAGTTACTTAAGCGATGAACGAGAAAACATCATTTTATTTTAAGGTATGCTACAAATAAATTTTTCATAATGTTGTGACTTACCACAAACAATAAACGAAGCTGATATTCATCCCAAAGCTTTTGTAGTTTCTGGTCTCATACAACAATTGTACAAGAAAGACTCAATCTCTCTGCTTGTAGTCAGAGAAAACGACAGTCTTACGGAAATAAACGGCAAAATACGAAAAACCGATAGGTTTGGAGCGTGTTGATATCAAATTCCACACCTCTTCTCCACGCACTAAATAATTAATAAGAGGACTGGTAATGAATGAGCGATTTCGCAGGAAAAAATCGCCACTGTGTGGGTTTTATACAGATAAAACCCGATGCAGAAATGCAGAGACTATAATTACTGCTTTTACACACACTACAATCAAAACATTACAAAAGTTAATTATTACAACAATGTACTGTATACTATACATGTACCAGTTGGTCCACTCTAACACGCTATAGCTATATATTTTTTATGATAAAACGCAAACTCAAATTTGTTCAAATTAATAGAAGTTAAAAATGCAGCAATCAAAATAACTTCCCCCAGCATTTCCAGCCATGCACTTCCCTCCGGCATTTCCAGCCGTGCTCTCTTCCTTTTCACATCTTTATGCTGCATCTCCTCCTTCATAGAATTTCTCTTTTCAGCCATGGGCACCAGGTCGCGATAACCAGTCCTCTCCAAAATCTGGTTATCCAAGCTCAACTATACAGACACATTTTTATAATGTTAAGACACACTTAGATATCGGTAATATCGACAACAAAACATGAAAGCGCTTGAATACAAATAATATTTCACTCAGATTGACTTGTGGGGAATTCCGAGGAGTTCAAGAGATATTCAAGATTTTCTCGATATGAAAACAGAATATTTGGCCAAGCGGTGAGTAAAATACACAATTGTTTTGGTGTGTAATGTTATATGAAAGCATAAATACTCGTTGAGATATTTACATTGGAAGGCAATTGAATGAAAAATATGAAATTTATCGTCGAACTGTAAAGAGTTAATCAATACTTCAAGTTCTGATAAGTTTGCGAGTCATCCGCAAAAATGTGTGAAATTCAAACAAATCTGGCGATTTTGTATAATTGCTCTTTTTTTACAGGAACTGTACCTTTTAATTGTACTTTTCTACAGGAAAATTTAAAATAGCGCAGGTAGTTCCTGTAATAACAACTTAAGCTTTTTAGTGGATTGGTTGGAATACTATAGCGTCCTGTGGTTTTCGAGTTCAAAATTTCTAATTCAATTTCTTGAGAAGTTACTGGAGAAAGAAAAAACTTTCAGGGCCCTATATTCCAGAGGGGATTCACTTACAGGAGTAATAGAATTAGCCACATTTATACATATTGTTGAAAAGTATTTATTAATTGTATTTCCCTTTATCTCTAAACCATCTTTAATCAATTTAGTTGGAACTCCTTGTATGCCATTTTTATTAATAACTATCTCTCTAATTCCTGACCAGACCTCTTGCTATTAACAACTTGCTCAGTTTATTACGGTATGTTCTATATTTGAATATATGATATGCACTTCCATTTTGTAAATGCTTCTTAAATAGGATATTTTTTCCGAATTGATACCTTTAGTGATGGGGTCATCCAGGGTTTTATATTGAACTTTGTCTCTTTTTCTTGTTAATTTCTTCAAAGGAACATGCCTATTGACAACCTCTGAAACTTTGAGTAATAAAAAATTTCATTAACATTTTCACTTGGAGGTAAAGTCTCCTCCCAGTCTATTGATGTCATCTCAATCAGTTTTGATTCATTCAAGTTTGTATAGTCTCTCCTATAGATTTTAGTTTTAGTTTTCGCAGAATTTTCAAGCTCTTAGCATTGTACTAGAAATACATGCATGCAACAACCCCTCGCCTATATTTTCCAAACATTGTTTTAACATGAAGTATTCGTAATTATGCCAACACTGAACGCAGGCTTGCATGTTTATAGTCATGGCAACACAATAATTGTTTTTAAATTTTTGTACAAACCAGGAAAAAATAGATGAAATTTGAACACTTTTAACTCAATTCAATCCGCCAAAATAAATTTCCGACGTATATGACGGGAAGATTAAATATTAAAGAACTTCGCTAGTATTTGCAGTAGAAATACGAAAATACCACCAAAAAATTCTGCTTGATCGACACTATATATTCAGAAATATTCATATAATTTTATTGTTTCTCGCTCAATTTCAAGCTTATTTCTTACCCTGAAATGATCAATGCTGTGAAATTTATGCAAATGACGCATTATCAATTTTGCTGTTGCATTTTGAATGTTCCGCCTGATTCAAGTGCTTGTATCTTTGCTTCTTTTCAACATATAATAATAACAAATATACCAAAAGAATCGCCATCTTCCATTCTATAGCTCGGAGCAGTCTCAGGAAATTGCAAAATAATCTAAGCCTATGATGGCGATTCTCGTGATCGGAAAGTGTTCGGCGAACTTCGGATGCCAAGTTCTTGGTAAAGCATTACAGTTTCCTGGTAAAAGACCGCAGGAATCACTTCCGGAGTGTTTGTTTACCCTAGATATGCATTTTGATTGGCTTAGGCAGAAAAACAAACCTTTTAGAGCAATTTTCCTGATTATCGCGCACGAGAATGAACGAGCGTTGTAATGTATTGTGTTGTTTGAATCGCATTGTGAAGACGTTCTTGGCTTTATTTTGCAAACTGATAGTACTAGTAATGATGGAATGTCTTCATATGCAGGGGCGAAGCCAGTGGTCATGCAGTGCATGATTAAAAATTTCCCCAAAAATGTTTAAAAATCAGTTCAGTACAATTGTTTAGAATAGAATTATACTTTATCTTTGCACTTTTATGCCTAAGTATTTTATTTATTATTTTGTTTACTCAAATCAATGGTCTTTAGGCGATATTTTCGCTAAATATTCTCATATGTTATTGATTTTGGCTCTGTTACCTTGGCAACTGAGCGGTCCTGCATATTTTCACATGCATGACCGGTTGCGTAAGCGTGTGGAAAACGATTGCGTGTGATTGCTGCGTGGTTTGCTTGCTGTGTGTTGTGGTCATGCATTTTCAGAATTTCATGACCAGCTATATTATTTCATATTTGGTTTGTTGGTTTCTGATTGGCTTATGACGTTTGCGCACACGCAATGTGGCTGTTTTTGACGGTTTGGTCATGCAATTTTCGATTTTTGCATGACTAAACGGGGAACACAACCTGATCACAGCCTCTTAGCTCGAAGCTTTCAGCCTGAATGAACATGGCTTCAGGTCATTCAAGCATGTCGAGTTCTTCTTCACTGAGTTCACTCGAGGTTGACGATATTGTTTGGGAATTTGTGAAAAAACCGTTTTCTGCTTGGGCTACTGCTCAGCAGAATATTATTGTTAAGCAGATACCAACGCCAGATCTTTTGACATACCCGATTGGGAAAGGATTTCAAATGTCGTGGTATTCGAAGAAAGAATGGCTTTGTGGATCTATTTTCAAGCGCAAAATGTTCTGTTGGCCGTGTCTTTTGTTTTGCCCTGGTACTTCTGAAACCTGGACGAAAACTGGCTATAGCAACATGCAGGGTTTTCTCTCGGACTGAAAAAAACACGAGAAAAGCGAAGTCACACATGAGTGCATTTAAGACCTGGAAAACGTTCAGTGCTCGCCAGACTCATGACCTGAGGGTAGATGTGATGATTTCACAGGCAAGAAGAGAGGAAATCAAACACCACAACAAGGAGGTAAGGTAGAATAGGGAAATGTTAAAGACCGTTACCAATGCTGTTCTGTATTTAGGCAAACAAGAGATGCCATTTAGGGGCCATGATGAATCAAGTGACAGCTTGAATAAAGGTAATTATAGGGAATTGCTTGAATGTTTTGCTGAACTTGATTGTTTTTGAACGACGTTTGCATGAGCGATTAGCCGAGTCTGGGGGAAGTGGGGATAGTCGGTTTACTGGTGTATCCTCTGATACACAAAATGACCTTATTCATTGTCTTGATGCTGTCATTGAAGATCAGATTGTACAGGAATTAAATACTGCACTTTCCTCCGTGTTCAAGTTGATGAAACAACAGATGTGTCAACAAAGGAGCAGTTAAGTATAATTGTCCGATTAGACAGTGGCAGTGATATTGTTGAAAGATTTTTAAAATTTGTTGATGTAAGTACTGATAGAACTGCTGCCACTTTAACTGGGGTTATTAAAGGTATTTTAGATCAGTATACTGGTATTACTAACAACAAATTAATTATGCAAACATATGATGGTGCTTCAGTCATGTCTGGTCATATCGGTGGTGTTGAGACACTAATGCGTCAACAGTATCCTTTTGCTTACTTTGTTCATTGTGCAGCCCATAGGTTGAATCTGGTTTAAAGTCAAGCCGTATCATCTATATCCCCTGTTAAGGTATTTTTTGCTAATGTTGGTTATTTTAGTACATTTTCAACTAGCAGCCCACATAGAAAAGCTTTCTTTATGGCCAACAACATCGAGATCCCCAGTCCAGGTGAAACCAGATGGTACTATAGAGCTCGTACCATTGATGTCATTTTTAAGAATTACCAACATCTTCATGGTATTTTAAAGAAGGTTAATGATAATCCATTTGGCTGGGACGATGACTCCATAAGTCTGATAGTTGGCTTATTGGGGCATCTTGACCGTTTTTCGTTTTATTTCTTGCTCTGTCTTTTTTATAGAATTTTTGAGCAATCCAGCATACTTTATGCAATTCTGCAGGGGAGGGAGACCGACTTCAACTATGGCATGCGTAAAGTGGAAAACTTCAAGTCATTTCTGGGCTCGATTCGAAATGATGTAGAATTTGACATGAACTATCAAAAAGCTGTCGACGAGGCAGGTTCCCCTGTTACTAGAATTGACCTGAATGTTAATTATAAGCAATTGTATTTTCAAATTCTAGACACAATTGTAGGGATGTTAAATGAAAGATTTAAAGATATTCAAAGCTTTGGATTCCTTGATCTTGTCAATCCCAAGCTGTTCAGAAATTGGGGAGGAAAGGTACCATCGGATAAAATCGACCTTCTCAAGGAAAGGTATGGACCTCTATTTGACATTCCAATGCTTGAAAGCCAACTAACATTTATTTACAGGGACAGTGATTTCTATAAAAATACTAGTATGGCAATTTTACAGTATATTTTTTAATTTAATGTGCAATCTAGTTTGCCAGAAGTTGTCAAGCTACTAAAGATGAATGGTGTGTTTTCTTTGACTAGTGCTTCAGTGGAAAGGTCCTTTTCTTGCCTAAAGAGAGTAAAGACCTATCTCAGAGCAACCATGACCCAAGACCATCTGAGTTCCCTTTGTCGGATATCTATCCACAAAGATATATTAAAGTCGAAGAAAGATGCACATACCCTGCATGAGCAAGTACTTGTTAAGTTTGCTGAAAAGCCCAGAAGACTTGCATTCCTTTATAAGTAAAGGGTGCCTGGGTCAGTTGGGGTGATAACAACTCCAGTTCATTGTGGTGAGTCCATTACAATTTCTGTCCTATCACATAGTTGGGGAGATATCTACTTAATTGTAGCATCCTCATTAAAAATTTATATTCTGTTCTCTTCATAGAACTTTGGGGAAATATCCACTTCATTGTGGTGACTCCATAATCCATTGTAATGTCCATATTTTTCCTTAATAGTTGGTGAGATACCCACTTAATTGTGGTGACCCCATTATAAAATTTATATTATATTCTCTTTAGAGTTGGGGAGATATCCACTTAATTGTGGTGACCCCATTATAAAATTCATATTATATTCTCTTTATAGTTGGGGAGATACCCACTTAATTGTGGTGACCCCAGTATAAAATTTATATTATATTCTCTTTATAGTTGTGGAGATGTCCACTTCATTGTGGTGACCCCATAATAAAATTTATATTATATTCTCTTTATAGTTGGGGAGATACCCACTTAATTGTGGTGACTCCATTATAAAATTTATATTATATTCTCTTTATAGTTGGGGAGATATCCACTTCATTGTGGTGACTCCATAATCCATTGTAATGTCCATTTTCCTTAATAGTTGGGGAGATACCCACTTAATTGTGGTGACCCCATTATGAAATTCATATTATATTCTCTTAATAGTTGGGGAGATACCCACTTAATTGCGGTGACCCCATTATGAAATTCATATTATATTCTCTTTATAGTTGGGGAGCAGTGGCATGCTGGCAATTCTTGGGGGGGGGGCGCAAAATGAAAAGGGGGCGCCGATCCCGCCCTGAATTTTGAAAGTGGGTGGGAAAAAACGCGAAATTCGAAAAAATATAGTTACTTCCGCCAAGAAACTGAAGAGATGTGTTTATAGGCTTATAAACAGACTAAGAATATAGGGCGACAAAGCGATATATTAAATTATAGACTATTTTGTCTAACCGTATTTGCTAATTTGCTACCTCACGGCTCACACGAAATCGTTCATATAGAAACATGATCAGTTATCACACGCAATGTCTCATTACCGGAATATTGGTCAGGTTTTGAAGCGATCACGGGAATTATGCCCTTTTTCCTGGCATTATGCCCTTATATTACGCCCTTTATTATGCTTCACGAACCACGATAGACTTGCCCAAGTCGCTCGCTAGGGACCGCGCGTAGCAAGAAGGGAGCGCTTGAGAAAAAAAAACGGAAGCGAGCGACTTGTGTCACTTGCCTGATTTTGAATCTTACTGAAAAATTTGGCGCGAAAATCAATTATGAGATAGTGGGCGTTCACCATGTCAATTTCACTAGTTACTCGCTGGGGCCTTTCGTGGAGTGGCCAAAATATTTCAAACAATTTCGTTAAAATTTTCAACGAATTGTAGCTGTTTTTTATGGATTTTGCATTGTGTCTAACTCTAGACATTCTTGCCAGTTTAGTTAATGCGTTTTTCTTCGTGCACGACTCTGAAAATCCGAAATTTGGATCGTCGAATTCCCGTGCACGATCATAATATACTGAATCTGAATATAAACGAAGCAAAGACAATTTCAAGGTAAAATTATAACTTACAGTAAACTACACAACTTACTTTTACTGCAATAGATAACTACTTTACGAGAAGTCATATCAATATAAAATTTATCCAACAACAGTCCCTATATTAAATTGTTGTTAATAGCTGTGGAAACGTGAAAACTGTAGTGTGAAATATATTGTATTTGCAATGGCTAATGGCTAATGGCGCAATAAGGATAAAAATACCAACGTTCGATTCAGCGTAAGAAATTGTACTTACGGATGTCAAATGTATTACTAAACAACGGTATTCTAGCGATTTATGGCCATTCAAAATCAAGCGAAATTGTATTGTTTACAAATCGTTTGCAATACGTATTCATGTTGACACTCAGTCGCAGTATGTTTGTCCTTGACCTTGTACTAAGTTGTAATGCCTAATGGCGCAATAGATAAAAAATACCAGCGTTCGATTCAGCGTAAGAAATTGTACTTACGGGTGTCAAATGTATCACTAAACAACAGTATTCTAGCGATTTATGGCCTTTATCTTTACAGTAAAATCCACGCGAAATTGTATTGCGAACGAATCGCTCAAAATTATTCAACTAATTATAAAAAATGCAGTACGTTTGATCCTTGATAACTTTGGTATCGTTGGTTTTCTCTTTTTCGGCCGTATACCAGTGGATTTGTCTCGCTTCTCTCTTCATTTTGATAGTATTTTGTGCCCAAAGGCCCCAAACTATTTTATTTTTAACGTTTTAAAGCGCTGTTTATAAATCCTAGCCGGTGGACTAACGCCGGGAGTTTTGTTTGTATAGGCCGCATTGGTACTGTGTCTGATTGTATAAAATCATGAGCAAAACTGAGCCACCTACCTGCAATACAAACCTAGCCAATTTGAGAGCGGCAGCACTCTCCCCTTGACAAGTAAAATCGACTGGTATATAAGACATTAAAATAATAAAGTAGGTTGCATGATAGACAGAGCACTGTTACATGTTGATATAGTTCAAAACAGAGTGAACAAAACTGTAACTGAAAAGTTTAATCTTCAACCCTTTGTCGCTCGTATTCGACAGTTTCGCTTGGCTCGGGACAACCAAGGGACAACCATAAATCTTAAGTGAAACAACTGTGTACTGCATGCATGTATGAATCATATACGTTTATGTGCGTGTTCGTACGGTGTATAGCCCCAGTTAACGCTCTATAGAGCGTCTTGTTCATTATTGTTTTGTTCATGCGACTTTCCATATATTCACAATGGATGGCGAGTCTGTTTATCAATGGTTTATATTAAAATAATTAAATATAAATTTTACAAAATGGCGTCGTTAGTACAGAATAATAATGAGCATTCACTGACGTCACCGGAGCAAAAATGCACCTGACCTAGAGACTGCAGTAAATTCTGATTTAGAGAACCTTAGAAAATGGTTAATAGCCAATAAACTTAGCCTCAATGTAGCTAAGACAGAGTTTATGTTGATTGGCTCTAAACCTATGATCAAAAATATTTCTGATTCTTGCCCAAATGTTTACATTGAAAATATACAAATTAAACAAGTTCATGAATGCAAAACTCTAGGAGTAACAATTGACCAGCATTTATCTTGGAAAAGTAATACCGAAAATATTTGCAAAAAAGTTACAGCAGGAATCTCTGCTATTCGTCGGATCAAACCATTTGTTGATCAAGATACACTTATTTTGATATATAACACTATTGTTCGTCCGTACTTTGACTACTGCTGTGAAGTATGGGATGTATTTGGCGAAACTCAATCAAAACGACTGCAAAAACTGCAAAATAGAGCGGCAAGAATTATTCTGAATATAAGCAATGACGTAGATTATACGATTGCGTTACGTACTTTGGGCTGGGAGCCACTCCAAACTGAAAGGAAGAAAACTAAAGCAACAATGATGTATAAGTTATTAAACAAAATGGGCCCAAAATCACTCACAAATCTATTTTCGTTTAAGAGTGAGAAAACTAATTACCACCTTCGGGATGTCTCAAGTGGTCTTTATTTACCAAAACCACGTACAAATAGCATGAAAAATAGTTTTATGTACGACGGAGCAAACATTTGGAATTCTATACCAAAAGAAATTAGGGAAAGCAAGTCACTTTCTTCCTTTCGAAATAAAATTGCTGCTCACATTAGTGCTTGGTAACCTTTATAAATATAACTTACCTGTAAATAGCTCAAAACTTTTGTTATATCTTTTAAATTTATATATTACTGTAATAGCTTAGCTTATCCTTATCATATTCTGCATGTAAAATAATTTTCTGGCACACGCCCCCCGTGGAAATCAGCTACGGTTGACGGGGTCAGCGTGGATAAATAAAGTTCTACTACTACTACTACTACCGGTGATTTTGGCGCGCTTGCGGGTGACAAAAGTCCGTAGCTTCCACGAACCGCGGACTTTGGAAAGTCTAGAACCACGAGAGCGGCGCAAATTAGATAAGTATCGAGGGGATGTATCTAGCATAAAGCCTCCATCCTCGGTATATAACTCTTACATGTAGTGACATGTCACAATGCATTGTCGCAAAATAAGGTGTTGTTCATGCATACGCAATGCCACGAATTTCTTCACATGGTTTATAGCCTGCTCACAGACGTTGTAGTTCTTACGCCAAGCGACGAAATACTACCGTCTGCTTACCCGAGCTGCATATTCAATTCCCTTTGTTTTAGCCGAGCCAATCATCTGGCAGTGTTCAAAAACATTAGAGCCAATTGAAAGCCGCCTTATATATTGAGAGATTAGCTACTGGGAAAAGCCCTTGCACATGCATTGGAATATATTGCTTGGGTTGAAACTTGAAATTTGTTTACTTGCGTGGATATATTTTGGAAACTATAGCGTTGAACTTCACGATGTTTACGTAGAATAATATTGTTATCATCTTCTCGCATGTTCAACAAACAATCGGTGTATATAAAGTGCTAAAGCAATGCAGTAGGCGAAATTTAAATTTTTGTTTATAACAATGACAAACAATCAATCGGGAACCAGGATATGTCCAAATGTTGCTCTTGATACTTCCTATATGCCATGACTTCGACGAAAACTTTTAAAAGATTAAGCTCTCGTTGTCATGTAGAAAAGTATAGCCAAGTTAGAGTATATTAAACGTTTCGAAGTTTGGGCGAATTGGAAAATTCATCACGGCGCAATTTTAATACAAGTTTCTCGGGTTTGTGTTGTGTTTACAGTTTACATTCAGAAGTGGTTGCTCAGACAGCAAATTAGTTTACTTTGAAGCTAATATTTCGCTTTCTAAGCCACAGTATTATATAAAATTCTGTCTTCCGAGTTCTGTTGTCTTGTAAAGATAAACCGTTCAAATTTCAGCGAAATATATTCGGCATTTGATGCCGTCTGGCTAAGATTCATACAGTATAAATATGCCAATCCTGTCCGCGTTTTAAATATATTAAACCGAACATCTTTAATATCCAAATCTGATCATTAATGGTGCATTTTATTACCTGGACAAGTATCAGTATCTTTAAATTCAATTTATGTGCAATTTTGACCAAAATTCAACCGACGACTGCTTTCAAAATATATATTTATATTTATTCCGCTCCTAAATCAACTGACGTCACTTTCCAGAATTTGGAAGGTAAATTCTGATTGGTCGACGTAGCGGAATTCAGTTTGGCGCTCGGGTAAGCAGACGGTAGTATTTCGTCGCTTGGCGTAAGAACTACAACGTCTGTGAGCAGGCTACATGGTTTAAAAGAGTGGTATTAAAAATGACAATAATCCGTAGCGCAGGTATCCTTCATTGCATGGACTGGTTTTACGTGTATGGGGACTAATCTTGAACAGAGTACTTAAGACTAGACATTTTCAAATTGAAGTGCTTCTAGTCGCAATATTCCATCCAGACACGCAACTTTGTGAAGTGGAAACCTGGTGACAAAAATTGCAGGTTATTCCACAAAAGAAAATTTGTTTCGCGCTCTTCGCGCGAACAAATTCGCCTGCTGAAAAGTGGCGTCTTTGAGAGGTTTTTTGAGGCAGTCGTAAACTGCAAATTTAAATTCTACGTGAAGCCCGATTCCGAACTCGAATCCGAGCTTGATTCCGAGCTCGATACCTTGGCTCGGTAAATAGGTACCCTCTGTTTTTACTATTTCAAATTCATTTTTGCTAAGATTGTGAAAAGGAAAAGGATCATTATCATCACACATTTCTAGCTATACAAGGCATTATAAAGTAGCGTGAATATATTAAAAGGATAAAATGAATTTTAGTTCAGTAATATGATACTCTCACGATCATTTCGCTGATTTGTAAAATACTTAATACTTGCCTTTCGATGATGAGTTTTTCTCTCACAAACGTAGCTTTTTTACCCGCTTCCCTCGCTTTTTTAAATCCCAGATATAGTTCCTTGGAGATCTTCGTTATTGCCAACTTTGTGCCCTTCAATTTCCTTGCATTGCGACGGTTTCTCGTCTTGGATTTTGGGATTACATATCGAACCCCCTCCCCCCTTTTCTAGGACAAGAAACACCCCCCTTTTCAATGATAATTGAATCAAACTCGTCCCATGGCCCCGAAAATTGCAATGACGCATTTTTAAAAGCCCATTTTTCGCGAATTTGTTCGCGCGAAACGAAAAACAAATCTTGGCAATGTGATTGGTCAGCGAAAAAATTCGCCACGAAAAAGTTTGATCATTTCCTACTGTTTTTACTGTTCGCGCGAACAAATTAGTGGAAAATGGGCTTTACTGTACATGTACTACATGTGATAGCGTGCTATTTTGCGAAGGTAAACATATAGTTCGATCAATTTGAAAAGCTTTTATTACTTTATTGGGTTTAAAATGGAGGAAAATAAGACTAAGAAGTCTAGATCGATCAGAAGAAGAAAAAGTTTTCATGGCCTGGAAACCGACAAAATAGGCCGTGAGATTGAACGAAAGCGTGAGTGGTTTTGCTGATGAGCGACACCCGCCCACCAACGTGTCAAATGTTGCCAAGGTTTTGGAAGCAAATACCCTGTTTAGGGCAAATATATCGGAGAAAAAGTTACCCAATTCTTCTTTTGAAAAGCTTGAGTTTGACCAAACAGTTTTAACCCGCACAAAAACCAAAACTCTTGGACTTGGATCTACCTGTCACACTGAGAATGCATCTGGTTTCAAATTGCAAGATGCATCTTTGTTAAAAGAATGCATCTCTTGTTTAGCAATTTGTAGTGTTTGTAGAGATCCAAAATCTAATCTGTTTCAAAACAACAATTGAGAGAGGGCCTTGCAGAATACTTATTCTTACAGTGCTCAATATGTGAGGCAAGACCCTAGGCCTCTCTTGACCAGCAAGCGTTTAGGTGATAGAGGAGGCGGAGCCCAGGAAATCAATCGCAGAGCAGTTGTAGCAGCTCCTCAGATGGGTCACGCCGGACTATCTCAATTTTGTCCCAACAAAGAAGGCTTATAATGAGCATCACTGAAATACAAATAAAAAACATTGCTGTAGACAATGCTGATAATTTGATGAAGGATGCGGCAAAGCGACTGGTTGACAAAGTTGGCATGCAAAGACCGGATTACATTGAAGATGATGGAAATACCGTTGTGGCAAATGTGTCTGTTACAGTTGATGGAACGTGGCAAAAAAGAGGACATTCATAAAAAATTGGTGTTACATTTGTCATATCTGTGGAGACTGTTGAGGTGCTGGATTACTGCGCCAAGTCCCTTTTTTGTCATGAGTGTAAAGCCATAGCAACGTGAATACAGAAACTGACGGTACCGGTCTTGGACTCTGGGTCTTGGAAAGAAAACCATCAATCAGTATGCCAAATCAACCATGCAGGGTGATCTGAAGAAATGGAAGCTGCTTCAGCCGTTGAAATATTTGGAAGGAGTATTACTGAATGCAATTTGAAAGTATCACTACGCTTGTCGGTGATGGAGACAGTCGTCCATACCGACGAGTAAAAGATGCTATGTTTGAAAAGTATGGAGATGGCTATATAACTATGAAGGAAGAATGTGTTGGCCATGTCCAAAAAAGACTTGGACAGCACGGGTGAAAAGCTTTCGGATGGTAAAGGTGTTGGTGGTCGAGGAAGATTTACAGATAAAATCATGGACAAAATGCAGAACTATTATGGCAAAGCAATTCAGGGGAACAAGGGTAATCTTCAGGGAATGAAGAGGAGTATCAAAGCAACTCATGCAATGGCACATGATTCAAAATACAAAAGTACCTCTGCAAGAACAACATCACCATTGCCCCCAAAATGATAGCACTTTTAGCAAATTTTGGAAAGACCTTTCTGATGGCACAGACACATATGACGAAATATCTGAAGTATTTATGGAAGAGTTGGCCCCGATTTTTACAAGGCTTTCCAAAGATAATCTACTCTCTAGGTGTTTGAAAGGGTTGACACAAAATCAAAATGAGGCTATAAATGGAATGCTCTGGTCAAAATGTCGAAAGACTAAATTTTGTCGAGCATGAAAAGTAACAATAGCTGTTCGTGAGACTATTGCCCTTTTCAATACATTACAGGTGCTGCCAACGCGATGGAAAACTGCACGAGTTGCCCCAGTTCATAAATCAGGAAGTCGTACTGAAAAAGTAAGTAAAGTAATTTCCGACCAATCTTCATTCTCTGTATTGTAAGCAAACTGTTGGAACGTCACTACCATAACAGCATAACCACCCACTTAACATCTTTCGACCTACTGTATAAAGGACAATCGGGATTCCAACGCTATCATTCTTGTGAAAGTGCAATTACAAATATTGGACATGGAAGACTTAAGGTGCACGTGTAGCACTTACTGATTTTCGAAAAGCTTTTGACATGATCAACATCGATATTGTCATCTCCAAGCTGAAGTATTATCGTTTCGATGAAACCCTAATTAAATGGATGTATTCTTATCTGACTGGAAGATAAAATCACATTTCATCAATAGCTCCTGTTTCATTTGGCGTATCACAAGGAAGTTTTCTGGGACCGCTTCTATTTATTTTGTTAATTTGTTAACCTCCCTTTGCAAAGCAACCAGAACCTAGATCTTTATGCTGATGATTCCACCTTGCACTAATATGCTGATGAAATTCCTCATCAATATTCTCTGGAAATTTCATGAACCAGTTGAATTCCATGGAGGAAATCGAGCAATGGAGCACATCTAATGGGATGGTGATTAATGTTAAGGTGATTAATGGTGACCAATAATCTTAAGTGTTACAATTAAAAAGCGTTTTTATACTGTAAACAACAGAAACTAGCGTAGAATAGTTATTTTATATAAAGAACTTACCAAGGGGACATATTTTGATATTTATAGTCTTTTTTACTGGAAAAGTTTTTCTTCGCGAGCGGTACATCTTTATAATAGCGGTCCACACTACGAGATCAGTGAGCGGTAAGTCCGTACTGCAGGTTACCGAAAAAAGGCTCCCTTTTCGCGAAAAAAATGCTTCCTTATTGCCTTGCCATATAATATATGTTATTCATTGGGCGAGGGGTCCGGACTGTGCGATATTAGTCAAGTTCTTTTTTGTATTTTGGTTTAGACTGCGAGCAATCCCTCTTTCCTTCCTAAATTCCTTCGTTTTATAGTCACTATAAAACGAAGGAAAATAGAGGGATTGCTCGCAGCCATGCTTGCACAACGTTTCCATAAATTTCACGGAGTTTCAGTTTAATTAACAAACATTCAGTTCAATTAACAAACATATGCATGGTTTTTTTTATACACCATGCATCACAACTGGGGAGCAACGGTGTTTTGGTCATTGTCTTGGATCTCGTTCAGGTAATTGAGTGCCTCGCGCAGCGCTGTATCCTGTGAGTTCAAAGCTAATCCCTAACAAAGGACCTCGTAACAAATAATAGACCTTTCTTATAATGACGTCAAACACGGAAAAAAACACTTTTTGGGATGTCCCAAGGTACAATGCAAATGTTTTTATGAAATTTATTGGCTCGCCAACGACTTGCACTGACCTTTGGGACAATGCATAAATTGGTTTTCCGCGTTTGACGTAATTATAAGAAAGGTTTATTACACATTATTGTATCTGCAACACAAACAATATTTATTACACATATAGATAGAGCACCTTTTTAAACCGTTGTTTCGTACACCAGTTTTGTTATAGACTCATTGCCACTTTCAGATATCAAATTGTTCCTGTCAGCAATCAATTCACAAGATACCTCTTCTTTACCACGTTTACTCTTTTCTACCAACGAAAGTTCTTTGTCAACCCTTACATGTGAGCTTATAGTTAGCATAAGTGCTGCTAATAAAGACATCCCAAACGCAGTGTAAAATACGTAACGAAAGTCATTAGTTTGATCAAAAATCCAACCTAAAATAAACAATATTATAAATAAATGGTATTCTACAAATTAATTGGAAAACAGTGCATTAAACCCAATACGTTGGTAAAGTGTGATGACCTGTTGCGTAAAACTGATTGTGTCTACAATATTGATTGCCTACATGTTTTTTTTAGACCGCGTTTACACTACAACGCAACGGTTAGCATAAAAAATCATTACGTTTCTTAGTATTGTGTTTACACTAAAACGGAGTGGTTTGCCATAGCGCGCCAACTACGAACCAACGCTTGGCCCTCCGGATGCAAATCAATACGCTACTATTTGCCGTAGCGTCATAGTGTATGCAGCCTCATGCAGTCATTTTAAAATTTAATTTAAGATTTAACTTTTTTCCACAAAACAGGCTGCTTAGCTAGTCAGGTTCATTTCCCGCACACATATAATACCATCATGCAATTTACTTAAACAAAAAGCCAAAGGATTTTCCTCCCACAGTTTACATGCATGGGTAAATTAAAAGACAAAAATCCTTATTAATATTATTACTAACTTTCTTCTTGCTTATCATACATGTAGCCCCCCAAAAAGAATGCCTTAATCGCGAGGTGAAAAGTTAATGTTATGTCAGGATGGCAGTATTCTTCAAAATCGTTTCACTACACAACTGTACCTGATGCTGGAACACCGAAAAGTGAAGAAAACGCACCAACAAGATTTAACAACGAAAAGGCTTCATTAAAATAATATCCTCCTGTAATCTCCATAACCAAGATAGAATATGTAACCCACCACACGCCCTCGACTATTCCAATTAAAGCCATATACACGAGTAAAGAAGGAAAAGCACGAAGAAAAGAACACATGAAATTCAATACACCAAACAATGCAAACGTTATTTGAATAACCATTTTCACCTTCCCATGTTTTAGAGCAAAATCACCAAAACGTCCAGCTATCAATCTTATTATAAAAGTTGTTAATCCTCTTATCACTAACAACCATTTTGCTGTTGATAAAGGATAACCTAATGTGACACCATAACGAACCTACAAGGTAAATGTTAAAATAGAATGTCCTATACGTATATTTAACTGTTCTAGATGGAGACCATTCTTAATTCACCTCAGCACTTTACCATGCACGAAGATGCGTCACAGACTAAAATATTACAGGTTATCTTAGAATTAGTTTAGTCTCAGGCATGAAATTTGTCCGCTTGCCTCGGGCCATATTTCCCACACAATTTGGCCCGCCTTATATAGGACTGAACTAAAAATATAAGCTTGAACTTCGCAAGTGTTTTTCCTTCTTTAGAATACATAAATAATGGCGCTAGAGTATTCACTGAGAGTATTCCGTTTCTATCTGCAACGTAGTACATATATATCGTTTAAAATATGTCGAATTTGTGGGTTTTTAGTTCTTTTATAAGTTTTATACCTCTACACATTTCCAAAATCTTCAAAGACAAATACTGTATATATGCGTAATATATAAGTAATCGGGGTGGGGGGATTTCTGACTAATGGGGGGGGGCTATATTTTCTAATAAATTTGCCCTCTCCCGTTTCATATTTCCTAGGAAATTCCTTTGGGGGGGGGGGGAGTATTTCCTGTTACACTGGAAAACTTATCTGTTAAAATAAAATTAAACATGGAGGAATACTTCTAATCGTTATAACGTCTCCGTGTGGGACCTTTCCCCGTGCTCATTGGCAAAAACTAATACCAAAACAATTTTCATACTTACCATAAAAATCATTGGAACAAAACAAGTAAAAAAATACATTGCTATTGCTAGCAAAGAGATTGTAAAAGATTTGTCTTGTAAGAACTCCTTATAGAGATTAATAACAGATTTTCCGCTTCTTTCAGTTAATTCTGTGTCTTGGTCCACGTGATGACGAGCAACAAAACCATAGCATAAAATTATCGGGGCAAAAACCAACAAAGACACAAATGTCATCTTATATCCAAGTTCAGCCAAAATAATTGGTAAAATAAAAGACATCACCACTGCCCCTATGGAGTTGGCACTAAAACGCACACCAACAGCAAAACCAAAATATTTACTAAAATATTCTCGCTGAGTTATAACTGACAATGTAGCGACAATGCTAAGCGAAGACCCAAATGGAATCGAATAAGTTAAAAAGACAATGTTTATGTCGGTCATAAATGGTGTGACACATAACGAGAAACCATACAAAACGCTCGAGATGAACATACACCAGCGAAATCCAACACGTCTGTGAATATAAACCACTATAGGGGACAACGCTAGTGCTAGGAAGTAAACGATTGACCCTATCCAACCTAGAAAGAGATTTAAACGATCATCTATCTCGTATTATCCTGGCATATCTCTAGGTACATGGAGTAAGTCTAGGTACATGCATGGGTAATATATACCGTATTTCCTCTATTTAGCGCCACGTGGGCCTACTTTTTCCAGTGGCTCTGGACCGGGGGGTTGGGAACTAAATAAATTTTCGCGCTCTTGGGAGACATTTTCATACAATTTACCGTTATTTAGCCATACCAGTGAACGTTATATACCTGTACAGCGTTTGTGTTCATATTTCGTTATAACTTTATATTGCAAATGATTTTATAGATAGAGGATGGGGGTCAAATAGAAGGCGGGGGCCTATTTTTTCAGCGCTTCGAGACTGGGGGCTAATTAGAAGTGAACAAAAAAGACTGGGGGTTAAATACAAGAAATGCAGTATACCTGTATTATGTACTAGTTAAAACACGAACAGGAGTGCTTTATTAGATATAAAACACGAGAGCGCAGCTCGAGTATTTTATATATCTGATAAAGCACGGACTGCGAGTGTTTTAAATGGCTTAAAAACGATCCATCTGATCATGATCAGTTCATTGGTGAAGTAATTTTAGAAATAAACATTGTCTCACGCGACAAAATCAAAGCTAAAGTTTATGTAAATTAACATGATTTTTTATCACATATAAAACCACCGACACGGCAGTGATTTCCTTTGTCTTTTCCTCATGAATTATTAATGAGTTTTTTTATTAATAATGTTAGTGATGCCATCGCTGCCTTAATAAACATTATTATTAGCATGACAAAATTACTGGATGCTGATTGGTTGAGAGGAGTACAATTATTTCATTAATTGTACTGCAGTACAATTAATGATTTTCGCAAAACAAACAAAATGGCGGAAAAGGAATTTTAATTAAACACAGATGTGAAATGAAATTGCCGTGAAGGAACTAGATGAAAATACGAACAAAAGCACCAAATTTTGCTTGAACAAAAGAACTAAATGAAAATACAAAGAAAAGCACCAAATTTTGGTTGAAAGTCTGGCAAGACTGGGCTTTGGCGAGAGAATATGACTATGTTGACATTGAGAAGTACGTATATCCAATTTTGTCATGCTAATAATAAACAAGTAACGGCGGCTCGTCCAATTTTGGCAAAATTTCCAAAAATCACTCGTACTATTAATCCCTAATTGTACTCGCCATCGCATGATTACCTATACTAAGTACAACCACACACAATAACTACCATACATGTATAGCACGAATAGAAACAATAAAATATGCATTGCTGCTAATTCATACCTCCCTTTGCGTTGCTCACATTTAAGCGGTCTATGAAAACAGCAACAATAACCCCAATTGAGTCAGCAATACCGATAATTGTAAAACAGGCAATACTAGTTGCAGTTAAATAAAACCACGAGTAAGGTCCATCTTTGCGTATATTACTCATCTAAAATGGAGATAATACATTGATAGTACGGGCAGGGCACTTCTAGTTCCAGTAGCAAGGAATAGTAGCCAGAAAAATAAAAGTGCAAGGCTAAGGGAAATTCTTGTCAGAGCTAGGGTGCTTTCAATTAGACCTATTCAAGTTCCGGGTCATTCTCGAAAACAATGTCCAGAAATATTTACGGGTGTATATACTTAGATAGATATAGAGATTGTTCATTATAACATTGCAAGCAGTCATAAGATGAATTAAGTTATTTATATAAAATAGATAAACTATGTAAGCTATGTACAATTTATTCTTTTCTTTTAGACAAATTAAGCTGGAACTCCTTTATTTTGGCTTTGTTAGAGAAATCTTCTTCAATTGTCTGAATCGGAGATTGTTGGGTTGTCAATAGAAACATTCGTATCATTGATCACAACAATGAAGAACCAGAGAGGGAACTGGCCCACATAAAGTTGTTTATGACCAGTCAAGAAGTCAATTATCCAGGTTACAATATCTTATGGAATATCGTGCGATGAAAGTTTCTGGACGAAAGTTTGTGTCGAAAGCTTTCTTGAAATCAACAAGAACAACTATAACGGTTGAACTATTCCCATGGATGGAGCTTTTTCCATGTGTGTAACATAGTACAGTGTGAGTTGTATATATTTGAGCTAGGCACAGTTTTCAATTGATTAGGATTAAGGTAACTGCACTACTTGAAATGAACTGTTCATAACTCTAGTTATTGGATCAGCAGGGATGCTCACGTTCTCCTTCAGAAGCCAATTCAGGATAGTACTTAGAGTGATTTTTAGTGAAGTGATGTAGTTTCATTGGGAAACAGTTTTGGAGGCAAACTTTCCTAACAATAACTTAAAAGACACTTTTCCAAACTATTTTAGCTTGTTTTTTTTTCTTGAAATATTTAGCAATGTTTGATACGCAAATTTCCTCCCTATGAAGACAAATTGCATAATGGCTTTCTTAAAAAACTTTGACATACAATATACATTTGCAGTATGTTGACATGATACTGAACATATGAACGGTTACATGATTTCGAATATGACGCAAGATAAACCAAGATACAGAAGTTTTTTCAGATAATTTGCATCAGCATATATCAATAACTCGATCAATAATTACTGTTACATATCTCAAGAACGAAGCAAGTTAAGATACTTTGGCAAAGTATCTTATCTGGTCAATTTGAATTTCCTTTACAATACAATCATAAAAAGATGGTGTGAAATTTCATTGCATACGCACTTTAGAAAGCGAACTGCAAGATAACTTAATTACTCTAATATTTGGTATATAGTCCTGAGTATTAAGCCCTGGGCAAACTAGGAAACATTGTTGTACATGGAAACATTTGTGATTTTGTTTCCTCAAATGTTTCCCTGTTTGCCCACCCGTGGAAGTTAACATTGTTGCGGAAACAAAATTTGCTTCCCGAGAAGCAAAAATGTTTCCTACCAAATTCAGAAACCCCAAACGGTAAATAACATACTAACACTCGACGTCGCGCGACGAAATTCATCCTTTCCCTTCCTTACAGAACAGATATATCTTACAAGAAGAGACTGCAGTCTCTTAACATTCTCCCAATCTGCTACTGGCAAGAATACCTCAAGAATTTTAGTTTACATCAAATCCTTAATATTTAAATACTATACTTCGACCTTCTGGAACATATTTACAACCCGGACAACCCAAGAACATTTAAGTCAGTGCATGTGCGCCAAATGCCACTGACTCCACTCGTCCTCTCGCTAGTTTATCAGTAAGAACATGACAGTTAGCCGAAGCCAATAGTCGTGTAAATGTATTGTTAGTATGTATTCGGGAACCCGTTATTGGAGATTATCTCAGACTCAGTCCCTGCCTGTTCTGTATATGTAACATAATATTATGTAATATTGTGTAATTGTTTAGTGGTATTTATGTTTGTGTGTGTGGCAAATCTTGTAAAATAAAATAAATGTTTCCTATATATATATATAGTGCTTGCCCAATCTGCATGGGAAACACGGCGAAACATTGGCAGGAAACAATGTTTCCGCAACAATGTTTCCTAGTTTGCCCAGGGCTTTAAACTGCATGCAAAGAAATACCAACGAAAACCACTATCGTTGTCTGTTACGAAGGTCATCATATGAACCCGGTTGGCTATCTGAGAGCTCTGTTTTCAATTTAGGTTAGTTTGGACCACCTCCGCGGTTGACGTTTAATTGAGGTTTTGACTAGCATATTTATGTTCATTTCTTTCAATAGACGCTATTTTTCATATTATGCAGTTCTGAACCTTTTTACCATCAACCTTACTTCAATCAGTCAAGTTTGTGTGCACACAGAAAAAATAAATAAATTTGTTAAAATTTATCTAAGTTCTTTGTATGTTTGCATAGCGATAAAACATATAATAGTTTTGTTTGTGGAAACACCACGTAAATTTATTACTGCAAAGCTTTCGATCCGTAAGCCAGCGGATCTTCATCAGTGCTAATAATATGTGTCATATATATAATATGTGTCATATATATAGACATATTATTAGCATTGATGAAGATCCGGGCTTACGGATCGAAAGCTTTGCAGTAATAAATTTACGTGGTGTTTCCACAAACAAAACTATTATATTTCTCTCCCAGTACTTTCTGGCGTGCCGCAAGGTTCAATACTTGGTCCTTTACTGTTTGTTATTTACGTGAACGATCTTCCGCAGGAAACATATACATCGTCTATTGCTTTGTATGCTGATGATACTAAATGCTATCGTCCAGTTAGATCACATAAGGATGAACAATATCTTCAAAAAGACCTTGATGGTATTAACAATTGGTGTGAATTGTGGCGGATGGATCTGAATCAGTCGAAATGTGAAGTTCTTTCGGTGACCAGAAATCTGAAGCTAGTGCCGTCGAGCTACCACCTTAAGTACGACACTCCCAACAAGAGAATCAATGCCCAGAAAGATCTTGGAGTGATCATCACATCCGATTTGAAATGGAACCAGCACGTGTCCATGGTATGTGCCAAAGCAAACAAAATGCTCGGCTTCATTAAAAGATCATCAATGGACATTAGCAACGAGAAAACCCGCCTTGCGCTTTACAAGACAATGGTGCGAAGCCAGATGGCATATTGCACACAAATTTGGTCACCACAGTCGGTATCACTTATCCTTCAAGTAGAAAACGTCCAACGTCGCGCCACCAGATACATTTTATCACTGCCATTCTTGTCAGGAGTATCATACAAAATAGACTTGTCAAAAGTGGTTTACTACATTAACATACTGGCATGAATTCCTGATATGGTCTACCTTTACAAAGCGTTAGTTCTATCTAATGACCATAATATCCATGTAAAGACAACAGATCGGTTGACGAGAGAAAATGATGGAACAGCAAAAATTATATTACAAGTTCCTAGAGTAAACACTTTAACATTTCAGAGCAGTTATTACTGCAGATCACCCAGGACTTTTAACTGTTTACCATCACACTTACGGCAGTCAAATCTCTCAGTCAGTCAATTTAAATGCGGCCTATTTAAATATTACCAAAAGCTTGTTGAAGAGGTCTACGACATTGATGTTCCACAAACGTTTAAAACAGTGTGTGTAAAGTGTCATTTCGGTGTCGTCCCTTGTCCAGTCTTTCTGTCAAACTGTGTTGTCATTAGTTGCTGTTAACCCAGTGGAAATATCACTTTTTAGTGAGCATGTAAAATTTAAATTAAATTCCTTTTTTCGATCCACATGACTATAGAATAGCTCAGGACCACATTAAATCAAACGTCTCAATGATTAGCGATTTTGAAGCGATATATCCACTGTGTTAACCTATATTTCAGTATTGCATTAGCAGGTTACCCGTAAAGGAGCAACTACCTCTGTGGGTTAAACCGGTCATGTGACAAAGATTGTAAAATAAATAAAATAAATAAAATTTATCTGTTTAAATTTATGTGTGCACATGTTTGTGTGTTAGTGCAACCTTAGAAGATTGCTCTTTCACATTTAACATATGCACTGTATATGAAAATCCCCTAACTAATCGTTCATTTGTAGACTTTTTTGGCAAACAAATCCTAATCATTTGCCGACAACTGGGTTTTCAGGGGGTGTCACACCAACACACCCATGGCCATGATGGCCTTGTTGGGATAAACTCACTAACTCATTAGAGATAGGATTGCTTTATTGGAATCACTATACACATCCCATTGAGTTTCTTAATTTCTTTCCATCACATGGCTGGATCACAATCCCATCCTTTGTCTTATTTTTTAACACTAAACTGGCTCTTCCTCTTGCATTTAATATCGTTCCTAAGTGAATGAAAAGTGACCAAAATCACCCTTAGCTAGTGCTTTTTGGTGAGCATGAATGATTTCAGAGCTGGATTGACCCATAGCCTGGGTTTGTTTTTTCCATGGTAGGACAAACATGCATCCATATTTAAGAAACTTTGAGTTTCTGCTTATTTTTTAAGGTAGTAATATAACCACTCAGCACAGCATTTTCACATTGGTACTACCAACACTGGTACAGACAGTTTTAGTATCCATATTTAAGTGCTAACAATCTTTTTCAAAAAGTTAGTTAAAAAATTCCCATTGATTCCATGTATGTTCACTTCTCATTGTTAGTTGTTTCCCACAAGTCTTGGGGTGTACTGTACATATGCATATGCAGGGCTGCCAAGAGGTTACATAGGCTTGGGGCAAAATTTTCCCAGATCTTAATGATGTCATAAAACATTCCCAGGGATCCCTATGACATCATCATTATATTCTCGGGTTAGCTATCTTGTGTCAAGAAATTTTAAGGGAGCCTTTATTGCAACAACAGATTGGCACTTCCTGTAGTAGGAGAGCAAGGCAATCCAGTATCACAGCGGATACTATCCCGCTGAAAGAGTGTCCCTCCATACACTACATCCACTAGCCGATAGTTCCCTCCCCCCCCGGACAATATCAGTTTATAACTCATACTCTCTCCCTGGACACTATCTGTGTCATCAATGTCCCCAGGGCCTATCAGAGAAATTCGGGGGCCCGGGGCGAATTTTTGTTTCGGGGGCCCTATTTTTCCCAAAAATGTTGGCGAGCGGAGGGGGGCTGGATTTTTTTCCCAACATTAAAAAAGGGTCAAAAACATTTTCTGGTCGAACATGAGTTAAACTAAGGTTCAAAAATTTTTTTCTGTACAAATTCCTGTTACAACATGGGTCAAACCCTTTTTTTCGATCAATAAATGTAAAATTTTGGTTTAGAAAATTTTTTCTCATACATTATTTATATAAAAAATATTTATATTTATAATTATACGGGGCAAATTGCCCTCAGTGCCCCCCCCCCCCTCTGAAAGGCCCTGGATGTCCCTTTCATTACATTCATAGGGCGCTTTCCATTTAATGGCCTGACCGGTCAGACCCAAATTCTTTTCTCCGTATCAATGGAAAAATCTGGTCTATGTTTCTCATATATCTAGCAAAAATGGACCTCATTCTAATGTTATCTAAATTTTCCAGTCAGATAGGTCCGAAGCCCAAATGTTTTGTGTTTCATTCAACAATTTGACAGTTCTGACCGGTCTGGCCGTGTTAATGGAAAGCGCCCATAGAATGAGACTATTGAGACATTTTACAAATATTTAAGGTGGTGTGGACATTGGACAATGGTTTTTAAGTTTTTCATGACATTGTTGGCGCAAAGTATTCAAGAAATATTACAAAGCTTGTAGGTTGCTATTTAAAGAAAATATTTCCTTAGGCCGTCCATGGCTGTCCATTAAAATTAAGCCGTCCAAATTCAGAAGTGGCCGGTTGGACGGCCGCCTGGCTAACACCCTGCCACTTGCGGAGACTGTCCGCTTCCTTCAAAGCAATTGGCTCAATTTTCATTATTGAAGTGGTGTATTGAACCATTGAATCCATCAAATACCCTAGTTCCAGAGCTAGGCTCTTAAAGAATGGCAAAGCAAAATAATGCTGAAGTCAAAAGAGCCTCTAGTCAAATCAATTCTAATTATAATAGTTCAATGTTTGCTGATTTTCCAAACCAGTTTGACATTTGCAATTGAGAGCCTCCGGAACCAGGGTATCAGGGAACACAGAGAACTTTAGCCCCCCCCCCCTCCAATAATTTTCCATACATATATGATAAACTAAGAATACTGAAACCTTTCAGATTAGTTAACAATGTATTTATAACTTATATAGCCAAGTATTCAATCTATTTCTGGTTGGATTAAACAAATGACGGGTAATTAGATTAAGAAAATTTTTAACAGAAACTAGTAAATTTGATTGCATTTCCGGGGATCTGGGAGGTCTCAGATTTCAAAATTTCCCGGGGGAGCATGCCCCCCGGACCCCCTATTAACAAACTTACGCCTTGGGCGTTCGCTGGCTCTGCGGTCCCTGGGTACCAGGGTGCATTCCATGTAAACTCTATGCCGGAGATACACCAACATTAACTATATAGATAGTATTGTAATTTGTCAAACTCATGCCGGATATCTTCGCACTTTTGTGCACAGCATGCACCCTGGCCTGGGTATCCATCAATCCAAATAGAACACATTATTACACTCAATTATCTCGAGTTTCTTAAAACCACAGAAATCACAGAGCCCATGCATGTAAACCGTTAATATATTTAGAACATATACTCATCAAAATAGAACTAAACACAATTTCTAAAGAAATAGAACTAAAAGAAGAGTTGTAAATATGACAAATCAATACTTAGCCAACCAGTGCAGGTAGAAAGCACATTTTGTTTCGCAAATCATCTACACAAGTACACAACCCACATGATATAGAATTTATACCATAAGTCCATAATATACAATTATACATAGCTTATAAATTGTATTGTCTTGATTGGCGCAAATTATTTCAGTGAATGACACGATTAAAATATGAATATTTTGGCGGATATACACTTCATAGTACCTTTTCAAATTTGTAATCCCATCATGTATGTAGTGACTGTTCCCTTGTATGACAGCTAATTTAAAATTATATCATAATTAAATACATTTTGTTTCGTCACGTATACCGTAGTTAGCACTATTTTCCATCCAGCAAACCGCCCTATTGATCATCTAAAGTCGGGGGTTTTTTTCGTAATTCGGTTAATAGGGTTAGAGTTGCGGTTAGAGTAAGGGTAGAGTTTGGGTTAGTACAAAACAACAAATGTTAAATGGTGTTAAATGGTGTTAAGAGGTGTTAAATGGCTATCTACATAGCCATTTAACACCTCTTCTATCTTCAGAAAATGACGTCAGGTCAGTTTGCTGGATGGAAAATAGTGCTCGCCGTATAACTACCGAGGTTGTATAACTACCTCCTCCGCAGGCCCTTTTCCGGGCAAATTTGCGGGCGGTGCAAATTTACCGCATTTTCCGAACCTGCCCGAAATGCTCCCTAAGCCCCTCCCCCAAGCGCCTGCGGAGGAGGTTAGTCACGGATATAAAGACCCAACCTCGTAGGCAACCCTAACCTGTGAACGGACTGTGGTTCGTGTGGACCTGAGGCGAAGCCCCGAGGGCAACAACGGCGATCGAGGGGCCACAAAACACACTGTTTTCCCAAGGTCTCAGTAAATAAGTGTTTTGTTATAAAATAAAAGTGTGGGGGGGGGGATATATGACATAATCAAGATATTGTTTGGAAAATTTTGAAATGCGAGGCCTCTCAGTGCCACGGAAATACAATAAAATTTGCTAGATAAATAATAAAATGTCCGTCAGAATTAATTAGAAAAACAACAAACAAGACGTTGTAAAAAGAATAAAATGTGCTTGCTTAGGTAGCATTAACATATTTTCTTTTATGTCTAGTTTATTACACTGGCCTGTAGGCCAAGTGTCTTAAATCCCTCTTTTTCTGTTTTTTTCGTAGTCGAGAAATCGAGTTTGCGTTAGCGCATCGCAGGCTCAAGGTGCAACGATTAAGCCAAAATGCCATCGATTCCCTCCGTTCCATGATTCAAATACAATAGCAACAAGTTACGTATTTATGTACGTACTAGCCGACTCATGCCATGCTTGTGGTACATTTTTCGTTTATTAGCCTATACACTTGTACGCACGCGCACAATTCCGAACTGCAATGGCGGCTTTTCACGGAGTGATCAAACTATATTTTACACAGTTTCGTTGAATTTTCAAAGAATTGTGCCGGTTTCCTATGTATTTTACGTTGTGTCGTACTCTGGACTTTCTTGCGTGTTGAATTAATGTGTTTTTCTTTGTGTAATGACTCGAAAACCACAAAATATAATATTTAGTACTCCACGAAATATAATCCGCACGAAAAGCTTTGTGGTAGCTATACTGAAAGATAAAGCGTGCGTTCAAAATACCAACAAGAACTAGAACCATTATTGTATCATTTGTATGGTTCTCATTTGCTAGACTTGCCACAAGTCGACCTCGAAGAAACGCATTTCGTTCGAGGTCGACTTGTGCCAAGTCTACTCATTTACAATAACATTAGTTCGACGCGAATTTTAATACAAGTATGGTATCATATTTCATAATACAACAAACAATGTAAACTAGCCATACATTTTGCCGAACATAACTTCGGTCCCTTTGGACATATCCTTTTCGTGATAATGTTATTGGAACCAGAATCGAAAACATTATTTATAGTGTTATTTTCAAGCTTGTGTCTTGAGATTCTCATCTTTTATTTCGGTATTTACAGAATATTTATATTTTTAGCGCGGCCCATGGAACGCACATGAAAACAACGCGCTGTTAGGAAAAACCGGAAATCGATTCTGTAGATCGGCATGATTTGCACGTGCATCGATCTCCATTACGTCACCCGAAAAGGTCTTTTATTTTTTAAAAAGTCCATAAAATTTGCTTGCGGTTTAAGATTTGTATTCCTGCCTTTTGCACCATAGCACGTATCTCGTTATTTTCAGGCCAGTGTGAACGCCTGAGCAGGCGTCTTGTTACAGTAAAATTTGCCGTATAGTTGGACGTATGATGTGCACACTTCCCCCCGCCCCCATTCTCAATGGCATCCTGACCAAACTGTTGAAATCTGTTAACCAAATTGTTGAAACCTGTCTGCCAACTTAAGACCGAACAGCGACACGAGTCAGGATATTTACTTTGCTGATTGTGTTGCAAATGTCGAAGCTGCTATGCATACTTTCGATTCCTCACTTTCAGGCTTCGACTTTCTTACTTCCTTAGCCTTAATTACTCACCCTGATAAATCTGTCTTGACTCCAACTTAGCGGTTAACTTAACAGGGGCGTACCGAGCGGGGGGGGGGGTGACACCCCCAGTTTCCTGTAAATCATCGGTAAAGTTTGAAAATGGTCGGTAAATTGATACAATCGTCGGTAAATTGACATATGCCGACTAAAACGTTCGGTAAAATTATGAACTCGTGAAATTTTTAAGACGCAGTTGTCACTACATGGTTCCGACCCCCCGCCAGGATTTTAAGGGAAAAAATTTTCGTCGGTAAGTTTAGGGAAATACACCCCCCGGAGCGTAATGGTCTCGGTACGCCCCTGGTTAACTATATTGCATTACCGGCGCAACATCGATTGACGAGGCCATATGCGTCTATGACTATGTAAGTTCCATGCAGTAATTCTGCAAATGGTCTATATTGCCGTTGGAATTTTCAGCAAAGAAGACTTTTTCGTGAAACACATGCAATTGGACATGAAGGCTGAAGCCACACAGAAAAGTATACAATGTTCGTATATTTTTTTTTAATGTCGTCAGTCATTCAGTTATACTAACATGTATGTAGTTTGTTTTGTAAAAAACTTGCATGATGCGTATTTAATTATATGCAGAATTAAATTATGTTTACAGAATAACACTAACGTAACAGTGATGTGACAATCTAACATTGCTACAATTTACACTGGTACTGTACTACAGTTACAGTTAACATTAATGTTAGTCATAATTGTACGACTGAGTCATTTTTTGGAATCAACATGCAAGAAACGTCTTTTTAAACTTACTTATAATAATAAATATTCAAACATTGCAATGATTTATCAATTTTAACTCAAAACATATCTATAGTCTTTGTATTATCTATGTCACATGAACTGTGTGTAATCTTTAAAATAAATATATTTAATAAACACATCTCCCTCCCGGGTCGAAGTGAGAACCCAAGACCCATTTGGTTTCATGTTCATAAACGCCACGTCAATTTCTGAGTATCGTTTGAATCGAAAATGGGAGCTTTTAGGCTCGGTTTCCAGCCGTTAGGATTCTCGGCACTCGCCCCTCTATCAGTTTCTAACACATCCAATTGACATGCAGATGGAATGTTTTCAAACATAAATAGCATGTTAGACAAGATACAATACTACAATATAGATATTTGGAATTCTCTATGATACACTAAATACACTATCACGATAAAAATACGCTGATAATGATAAAATTACAAATTATTTAAAAACTACTTTACTAAAGGTCGATTCTGCTCCGAGTCGTCTGTACAAGACATTTCTTTATATTTCTTCACTTCTTCCATATATGCTTTCCATGCGCTGGATTTTTCATCTGGGTTCTCCTCTTCCTAAAGAGATGACGCTTAATATTATATTATATTATATTATATTATATTATATATTATATATATATTATATATTATATATTATATATTATATATTATATATTATATATTATATATTATATGTTATATGTTATACGTTATATGTTATGTTATATTATATTATTATACATAAATGAGATAAAGCAAGTGCCTTTATGTACTAGTTCATACATGAGCAGCAGTCTTTGTTTTATCAGATATAAAGGTCTGATAAAACATGCACTGCGAATGTTTTAAATTATTTCAAAAACGGCGAAGTAATTGGCATTGGCGAAGTAATTTTAAAAAAATACGTTGTGCAAGTCGAGAAAATCAAGGTTAAGTAAAGTTTATGTAAATCAAGGGAAATCTCTATCACATACAAAGATACGACACTCTTATGATTTTTCTTTGTGTTTTCCTCATGAATTATTGAGTTTTTGAAAGCCTTGTAACCAACACTCAACAGGAAACTTAATCTTTTGGATTTCAAGAACTCGTTCTCGAAAGCAATGCCACCAATCTTCACTAATTTCTCGTATTTTCATACTGCAATCATATATATATTTACTCTTCAAACACACAGAATAGTGTACAGAAATAGTACATACTGCATATAAAATTGTGAAATTCATTAATGATTCATGAAGAAAACACAAAAGAAATCATTACTGTGTTTGTATATCTGATATGATATCGGGAATTTCTCCTGAGGAAAATTTTCCGTCGTATCATACCGAAATTTATGTTTGTGACCTAATTTTTAAAAAAAATTTGTAAATTTCCACACAAAAACGGAACCTATTGTTTTAATTTAGTATTTACAGCGACATTAGCTTCTACAAAAGGGGCACTTTTCCTCACAAAAAAGGGCACTTTTCAACACAAAAAGGGCACTTTTTATCACAAAAAAGGGCACTTTTAGTCCTTTAAAAAAATTGGGGGGGGGCACGTGCCCCCGTGCCCCCCCCCGCTTCCTACGCCCCTGGTTCTCTATCTCACTACTGCATGCATTTTACCTTCTTTTTTGCCTTTTCTTGCTTTTTCTTTTTAGCATCAAGTTGTTTTGATGATCCGGGCATTCTTCCTACAGGAATTTTTCTCTTCCCCTAAATTCAGAGTGACTAACACCTATGAGACTTTACCAATCCATGCAAGTTTGTTACCTCTACACTGGGACAAGTTCAGGGATGTTCAATGTAAACCAAACTGCTTCATTGATTAAGATCACAGTAACTATATAACAATTGGTTGCAACAACTATATTACAACTATTTACAAATGGTTGCGGCTGGCTTAAGAACATTTTGACCATAGATGGAATACACTTAATGGCAATTAACTCGATAAAAGCAAATATTTATGTATTTTGAACACACTTGCATTGCTACTAACAAGAAATGAGTTGCCAAAAGTTGTCATGACCATGATTAAAATGAAGGAGACATGATAGTTTCTTTAATGGTTTTCACTCGTTTCCAACCATCAAACTGACGTCAACGTCATTTCATCAATTTCTAAAGTCGAATCTTTTTGGATTTATTTTATTGTTTTGGTTAGGGGTTAGAGCATTCTCGTACCCAGAGCCCTTCTTACGCGCGTTCGACCGAGCGCGACGAGGGGCTCTGGCCAAATCCATAACCGGATACCATAAAAACATGGTAAGAGAACAATATCCGGTATTAGATTATGGCCAATCAGATGCCAGTTTGATATGGAATTGGCCAGAGCCCCTCGTCGCGCTCGGTCGAACGCGCGTAAGAAGGGCTCTGGGTATGAGAATGGGGTTAGAGTAGGGATTGGGTTAGTTATATAGCCATTTAACACCTCTTCCGTCTTCCGAAAATGACGTCACCTCAGTTTGGTAGATAGAAACAAGTGCTGACTTTCTTTAAAATATAAGTTTGTACTCAATAATTAACAATTATTCGCCGAAGGCGAGGTGATTATCGGGGAATATTCACCGAGACGAAGGTATTCCCCCAATAATCAGCGAGCCTGGGGCAAATAATTGTTTTAGTATTTTTACACAAGTCTTTTGTGTTTTGGGGGACTGAAGTTATTTTAATTTCGCTTATTTCTTTATCAGTAACATCCGTAAAACGGCGGCTAGCCGCCATTTTGTAAATTTCGGTTTTGTTATAACAGCTTTTAAATACGTCAAATTTGACCAATCAACTTGTAGGATTTGTTGTATTCACTTGTGCAAAAATGCTAAGAATAAAATGACAATCACTTATCTATGCATAATTTATTAATTTATTGTTCAATCACATAGCATTGTATATACTTATGATCAACACTTAATCCTTATATGAAAATTAAGCTTTAATTACAACACAAAAAACCTTTAAAAGTTTGATTTCTCACAAAATTGAAATTGATTTTACAAAACTAAAATGCAAATTTTAACATAATTTACATAACAATGGTGTGACAATTTAAATTTAACTGTAAGTATGCCAAGCAAAACAAACTAGACTGCAGAATTGGGCAGTTTTCAATCATGGGCTGATTTATTGGGAGTTAACCCCTTCCTAGAGTCTCTCTAACCCCACTTATAAAGTGTTCAACCCCACCACTATTTCACTTGACCCTCCTATTTTGTGTGAAAGTCTTTAACCCTATGCCTAACCCCTGCCAAAGCTCAGTCAGTGGTGAATTCCCCCCCCCCCCCTTTAAAAAAAATAATGAAAATCCACCCTTGTTTTCAAAATGATATACATGCAATGCCTATTGTGTGTGTAAAGGTCAGGTGGCAAAACAATTCTCAGAGACACATCAAAGTGCAACCAAGTTAATAATAAAAATAACTAAATATTATATTGCATCGACATAGTAGTACCAGACAGGAGAACAAGAAGAGGCTGTTTAAACAACATAGTTTAAAGTTCAATATAAATCATTGACTTAGTGTTTGCACCAGCCCTGTAAATAATTACAGTATAACTTACATATGTCTACTGTATTCACCAGTTATGAATACACTGTTAAAATAAGCTGATAAGCTTAATTGCCATATCTAACATATGTGACAAACCACCTCTATTTTGTCCAAAACCCCATCCAATTTGCTGGTAAAATAGAGGTACTTACACGCCACGCAAAAGGTTCAATCAAATGCAAATGGTAAGAGTTAACCTTCAAGTGGCAATGCGACTAGATGCGCACTATTTATTATTTTAATTATTTTACTCTGTATTATGCCAGACGATTTTACTCATCAAGGGAGTGTTTTGCCACTCAATGGTTAACATAACATAATAAACATAACAAACATTAAAAACAGTAATGATGAGATATTAGGACTGTGTGGAAAGTATTATCATGTAGCAAATCTCATGGAAGTTTTACAGACATGTCAACCCTCCCAGTTTCACTGACAAAGAGCCAAAATACCCAGGTTGTTCCAGAAATGAAATAAATTAAGTAATTCAGTTTGAAATGAAATTTCTAAAAAGTTTCCTTCGCATGTAAAAATTTAATATGATAAACTTAATTAAACTACATTGTGTCTTTTCGCTTTGGTATGACATTCACATGTAACAAATCAATATTGCTTCTAGAATATGCATTAATTAACAATTATTCGCCGAAGACGAGGTGATTATCGGTGATTATTTGTAAAAAAATAAGAAAATACAGATTTCTTCATCATTTAATTGACAAAAAGGCTTCGGCCGGCATTTTGAAAATCGCTTAGGTGATTATCGTGTAATAATCACCTCAACGGCAACCAATCAGCGTGGAGAATTTTCAATAATCACCTATGTAATTATACTAATAATTAATTATTTCATGATGCTATTAAATTTCGATGAATGTTAATAATTTCTTGCTGATTCTACTTCAAATGATGAGTCAAGCTAAATATCACCAGACTATATATAGAATTGAATGTCATATGAATGAAGTCAGATGTTCTACTTAGGGAGCGTTGACAAATAGGTTTTGTCATGCTTAACAGCATTTGTGCTGGAAAATCAGGACAAACTCGGACTTAGGGGGGGAGGGTGGTTTTTTAGCAATCCGGATGTCCGAAATTTAAAAAAATTCAAAAACAAATTTCTTTTTCCCTCTATTTTGAGCAGTCCTTCCCATTGTGAAATTGGCATTTTGACTATGCGGTTAACACTAGATTATGTTTTAATTAGTAATTTAGATGTTTTTGTGTTCACATTTACAGTTATAAAAAAGTTCTAAAAGTAAAAAAAGTTTTTTACTCTTGATATATACAAGGTTGCGTGAGTTTTTGCGAGGCATGGCGGATGTCCGGGGGGAGGGTCACTAATTCAGACAATGTCGGACAAGGGGGGGGTCTGAAAATCCATCATTTGGCCGGACATCCTTTGTGAATGGCCCCTAAGGGGGGAGGGCCTTTAACGGCACAAATGCCATTAAGTGTGACGAAATCTATTTGTCAACGCTCCCTGAACTCCTGCTTTTTTGACACATCTCCCAGATTTTTTTTTTCTCCTGGTTTTGTATTCTCGGGGTTGGCAAGTCTGGGTTTGACCTGTGGCTGAGGTAAATACATCATCACAGCGGCAATGACAAATGTGCACTTTTATAGACAACCAACATATTTTATAAAACATTTATACAGTAACGATACCATTAAATGCAACATATTACAAACAACTTCCCCCAAACTGAGCAATTAGAAGTTGTCTATTCACATTTATATTAATTCACACCTGTAACAATAAGTTTGTAGTTTTTCGTTTTTCCGTCTCTGCTTTAACATCTTTCTTTTCGTCTGCGGTATTTTCTTGCTCTTTTATTCTTTGTTTATACATTTCTAAAAAGCTGCCGTCGTTCGCAAAAGAGTTCGTAGATATCGATGTCATTGATGTGTTCTTTTTGGACTTTTCTACATTTTCCGACGCCATCTTTCTCAGGGTTGGTAGATTCATGCGCATGCTCAGAGCCAAATGCCTTTGAAAAAGTAGCCAAAATCTACCAAAAGCGGCCAAACATTGCAAACAACACTTTAATGTTGGGGACCTTGGGGTGTTGTTTCTGTATATTAAATAGAGTATTTATTGAGTATAGAGTAAATTAACACGCGATATAATACCAGTATACATTTATTCAAACAAGTTTTACTTGTTTAATCAGTAGTTTGTGTTCTTCGTTTTAGGTTTCTTTTATCCAGTTACTATATTCTCAGTCTCCGACAATTTGCGTAAATATACTCATAACCCATCCACTCCTTCACATCTATCAAAAGAGGACAATCGCAAAAAAACCTATGCAAAATCTCATTTGTATTTTTTACATTGACGTCCGTCTGAATAATTATTAATATAATGATATCATGCGCAGCCTCGTTCACGAAAAATTACCTTCTCTCCTTGGCGGGGCGGCAGTTAATTTCGCATATGCTTATTGACCTTATTTAAAGGGGCCCTACAGTCATTTTTTATTCGGAAAGCCTCCTTAATTTAAGTAGAGAACTCCACAGAGATTCGTTTGGCTGTATCTTACACGCAGTATCCATGAATATGAGTACTTCCGCACACCGGAAGACGCATGCATGCCGTGGTGCGTATGTCAAGTAGCAACAATAACAAAAAAATGTAAACAATACTTAAGGTGGCTTTTCGACTAAAAAATGACTGTAGGGCCCCTTTAACTCTTTCAACAGGGGCAGTATGATCAAAATTTTATTTTCTTAAACGAAAGTGCTCGTAAAACTGTATAATAACTTGTACGGTCTGCGCCTTCTTAAAAGAAATGCTTTACCTTCTCATATTCTGATCTCAACCTATTGTACACATATTCGACCAATTGTCGAATATGCTTGTCAGGTGTGGCATTATGGCCTTCCTCATTACCTGAGTGATCAAGTTGAAAAAATACAAAAAAGGGCATTAAAAATTATTTTCCCTGGAACTATCTATGCTGAATGTTTGCTTAAAGCTAACTTGATGACTCTTTACGAACGTAGAACTGTTCTTTGCAAGCGACTTTTTTCGAAGATGTTGGAACCCACTCATAAACTGAATGCCTTAGTACCGCCTAAAAGTCTTCAAACTTATAATCTGAGGTCTAGATCTTATCCCAACTTATTAGTACCTAGGTGTAGAACTGAACGTTTTTCGAACAGTTTCATTCCTGCTGCGTCTCGTGCTTATAATAATAAGTAAACTTTAGATTATTATCGCTATTTTTATCTAACTTACCTATTTTTACCTGTAAATATAGAATAGATTGAATACCTATGTTCTTATACCCTGTAATTCCAAAGTAATTCAGTTGTTACTGCTAGTTTGGAAATTTATAATAATAATAATTTTTTTTGAAGATTTTTGTTCCCATGCTTAGTTCCGTTGAGATATTTCATTTTGTTTGTAACCATGTGAAGTCATTTACTCAATTACATATATAATGAGATATCAGTAATTGTTGTGTATCTTTGCTATTTTTATCAAAATATTTCGAAAGATGCGGCGCGTTTTTTCATTTAACCAGCATCATTATTAAAGCATACTGTGTTTTTTAACAAATCGATCAAAAATAGCAAAGATACACAACAATTACTGATATCTCATTTTATTATATACACAAGGTCTGGATGAGTGTATCTAAAAGTCGAGGGTCGAGAGTCGAGAGTAAAGGTCGAGAGTCGAGAGTAAAAGTCGAGAGTAAATGTCGAGAGTCGAGAGTAAAAGTCGAGAGTCCTTTTCACCTTTCGTGTTCACAGGAATTATGTTGGCGATCGATTTTCCAATCTTCCGGGAGAGCACCTTGACTTAGAAACTTATTAAAAAGCGTGCAGAAAGTCGTTGAAATAACAGGAGCTGTTTTTTGAGCAGGAGTAGTGAAGCCCCCCACCCTGGCGGCGGAAGTAATTAGTATGCAAGCTTAGGTGTCGGAAGTAATTAGTATGCAAGATATGTGACGCAACTTTGCTGGCCCTAACCCTAACCCTTGGCCAGGTAGCGCGACCAATTAACGCGGACAGGCCTGGGCCAACTGTGACAGGTAGCGCGACCAATTAACGCGGGCAGGCCTGGGCCAGACGTGGTCAATTAGCATTACAATGCAGTAACATCACTATAAATACAGCTAGTGTCCTTTCACCTGCATAGTCTGTATTCAACACTCACGATGGAATGTTTTCACGGTAAACCAGCTGCTTGTTCTACAACTGCTCGTGGTACGTTTTGGTTTTGTGGCGAAACACCGAGCTGCGAGTTCTTTTGCCATGACGAAGACTGTTATCTGTTTACGAGAGCAATAGAAGCCTGTAAGAATAGTGGTTCCAATCATCCCATTTGCCCAACACATCAGAGACTAGCCAAATTACGTGTGGTAAAAGATAAAATGAAAGAAAATTATGGAAGACCCTTCTTCACGTGTTCTGATCGACATGATCCTTGCAACTTTTGGCAATGGGGAGACGTTTACGAAAGCCCTCGACCACGCTGCAAACACGGGATGGTATGCACCGTACGTAAAGTGAAAAAAGAAGGACCCACCCAGAACCGCCTGTTTTACTGTTGCCCTCAGATAGACAGCTGTGGATTTTTCGAATGGAAAGAGATCGAACCTCGTGTGGCCAAGACTGGCTTCGTCCTATTTAGTGACCCGCTAGAATACCGATACAAGAATGAAGACACGGGAGAAACATTCACTAGTACTAACATTAATGCTAAGGAAGCGAATGAAGAATTCCTTAAGAAATATGAATAACTGTAATAAAACGAAATAAATTGTTTTTATCATCATGAATGTGTTATGAGATAAATCACTTATATTTCTCATTTGGGTTTTAACCTTTATGGTGAGAGGTTCTCTGGTGAGATGAATAATATAAATATAATTTTTGACGAGTTGAGACAAAATGAAATCGATATCGATAAGCAGACTTTATCGTTTCATATAAATGCAATTCTCAACCACCATCGAGATCTATATCGTGCAGTGGGTGCTCATAGTCTAAACCTTGACCAAGTCTACAGAGATATAAAAATGACAAACTTTGGTCGCATTTTTGCTTATTTAGCGTTAGTTTGTGTGCAAAGTGGCAGCGAGAAAAGCGTTCGAGAACATGTCCGAAAAACTGTCGAGGCCTTTCGAACTTTTTATATCCCAAAAGCGAAGAGGAATAATAAACCACCAATTTTAATAGCGCTCTCACTTACACTATTAGCTTTATATGTTAGTATATGATTGCTGCATGGTTCATTTCGTTCTAACCTCTGAGGTGAAAGGATGCCCTGTTGTGGTAAAAGTCTTCCAGAAATTTCCCTCCGAGATATCTTTCGGAAAGTACGTTGTATTTCCGCTTGCTGTGGAGGGAAAATTGTAATTCAAGCCTCAGACAATGATGGCCGAAAAGTACCTGAGCCAAATCTATTACAATCCAGAAAGTCCCGCAAGCTTTGGTGGCATAGATTCAATTTACCGTGTCGTAAAAGACGAAGGCAAACATCAGATATCGCGGAATAAAATACGGCTATGGCTACAAAAGCAAGACACGTATACTTTACATAAATCTGTAAGATATCGTTTCAAAAGGAACCGTGTTATGGTAGGCGCAATTGACGAGCAGTGGGAGGCGGATCTTGTGATTATGGACTCGATAAGCAAATACAATAATGGTTTTAAGTACATTTTAACTGTAATCGATGTACTTAGCAAATATGCGTGGGCTGAACCGATAAAAACAAAGACTGGAGAAAATCTTGTCAAAGCCTTTGAGAAAATACTTAAAAAAGGTCGAAAGCCTGAAACGTTTCACAGCGACAAAGGGACAGAGTTTATGAATCGAAAGTTTCAAGCCTTTTTGAGGAAACATAACATCCGGTTTTTCACGACGCAAAACGAGACCAAGGCATCGATTGTCGAAAGGTTTAATCGTACGCTCAAGACGAAAATGTGGAAATATTTTACAGCAAAGAATACGCTCAAGTACGTTGACATTCTCCAGAAACTGGTAAAATCTTATAATCATTCGAGACATCGTAGTATTGGTATGAGGCCTGTTGATGTAAATGAAGACAACGAGAGCATTGTGTGGCAAAAACTTTATGGAGAAGAGTCAGACAAATCCGTTCGGTTCAAGTTTAACATTGGCGACCAAGTACGAATCAGCAAAGCAAGGCGCACATTTAAGAAAGGATATCTACCTAATTGGACCGAGGAAGTATTTACGATAACCAAACGTGTTCTTCGACGCCCACCCGTGTACAAGATCGCTGATTTTGATGACGAAGAATTGAAAGGAACATTTTACGAACAAGAGCTTCAAAGAGTGAATAAAACAGACAGTGATTTTTATAGAGTCGAAGAAGTACTTAGATCACGCATGCGTAATAAACGTAAAGAGTATTTTGTAAAATGGTTGGGCTACCCCGATAAATTTAATTCTTGGGTACCAGCAGAGAGTGTAAAAGATATTAAATAAATGTATTTGAAACTCATAACTTGTGTTCATTTGTGTATTGGTCTTCAATATGGCAACACAGTTTTATCTTACGCTTCCGAGTAATAGTTCGTTAGCCTATTTTCCAAATAATACGGTAGCGAATTTTCGAGTGAAATTGGCTGAAACCATTGTATTGCCAGGACAATGGGAAGTCGCATTGACGGAAATCCATTACCCACATACGTGGAGCACACTAAGACGTGGAGTGCAACAAACGTTTTTGTATAAAACTGGCAGTAGTCCTTATCAAACTGTCGTGCTTAAAGAAACACAATATTCTTCTATCGAACAACTAACAAAAGCACTCAATGCCGGCATGTCGAAAGAAACACAGACGATAGTAAAGTTTAGTTATAATCGTAGTTCTCGCAAAGTTTTGATTGATGTAAAACACGACACAACTGTATGGTTTACCGGAGAATTAGCAACGGTCTTGGGATTTGATCAGGACACACTTATTGAAAAGAAAACGTGGAGTCCCTATGCTGCAGATATCAATGGTGGATTTTCCTCCATGTATGTCTATACTGATATCGTTGATGCACAGTTTGTGGGCGATGTGAAAG